ACGTCCGCTGTGGTGTTGTTGGTCGCCTTCAAGCTCGCTCTCCGAGCGACCACATCCCTGTCTTTGCCGTTCTGTCGCCCTTCACCCCGTCCAAGGACCTCCCCACTATCCCCAAACACATTGCTGCTCATCCTGAATTCTCCTCTCTGCTTGAAGCCTTGGTGGTCGAATTTGATGCGCACACGCGGGACCTCTCCGCTTGGGGCCGCTTGGAGGCGATCAAAGCGCTGATGTTTGTGGCTGCCCAGCAAGTCCGTGAGCTTTTGAAAGTCACTGTCGCGACCTCACTGGAGCTGAAGCGCCATTGGGCGATGTTCGCACTGAGGGGGGTCAGGTTGAGGAAGGGATGGATGATTGGTTCTGCGCTCAAGTGTTACCCCGCGTTGTCTTCTCACTTTAACGTTCACTCGTTCGAGTGCACGAACATTCGGGGTCTTTGCGCCTTGATTCGCTGCATCCAGATCCAGCTCTTGGACCAGGAGCAAGCGGAGATTGAGCGATCTGATGCCCCTGAGCCGACGAAACAGAACTTGAAAGCCCGCGTGCTTCGATTTCAGGAGCTCTGGAGGAGATTTCGGAGTCGCACCGCCGTGTCGTGTATCTATGAGGAGTCTGGGGAGCCCTGTGTCTCTTTGGGGCGGTCTGCGGAAGTTCTTCGGGATCATTGGGCTGGTGTGTTTTCTCCTTGTGAACTTGACGAATCCCTTTGGCCTCAGGTCTCTGCTCACATCCAGCCGATACCTGAGGAGCTTTCTATGGAGTGGCTGGTTCCATACCCTACTTTTGTTGATTATGTTCGCGCCAGATGCCGCAGCATGCCTGGCCCTGATGGCATTCCGTACCGAGCGTGGCGCGCCGAACCCGCTTGCCGTGCCCTCTACGATGCCTACTTGTGTTTCTTTCACGGCACCGTCGAGTCCCTTCCCGCCGATATGTGTCACAGTCTTATGGTGTTCCTCCCGAAAGGTTCGGATGATCGTGATGATGGTCCTCGCGTTTCTCGTCGTCCGCAAGATACCCGTCCACTTAGCATGAGCAACGCTGACATTAAAATCCTTGCGGGTATTATGTCGATTCCTCTCGCCGCCAACTCCTCCTCCCTCATCTCGCCTGCCCAGAAGTGTGTGCACGCCAGGGACATGGTAGCCAGCGTTGTCGAGGCTGAAGCGTGGGGGTTAGAAAAATATGCACGTGGTCGCGACAACGCTGGCCTTTTGATGACGGACTTCTGTGCTGCTTTCCCTTCGCTCGCGACACAGTGGCTTCTGCATGTGCTTACCCGCATGGGCATCAGTTCTGCAGTTATTCGTTTCTTCACGTTGCTTTACCAAGCTCAGTATGCTACTATTGTATTGGGAGGGAAGAGGCATGGGCAGATTAGCATGGGGCGAGGAGTGAAGCAAGGGTGTCCATCCAGCATGCTGCTTTTTGTCTTGGCGGCCGACCCGCTGCTTAGATGGGTTCAAGCCTCTCTCGCGTCTCACATCTCGCGCTCGTTGGCGTATGCGGATGATTTCTGTTTCGGTCTTCCTGATATTCTGACGTCGCTGGGGCCGGTCTTTCACAAGTTGGAGGGCCTGGAACGGATCGCGGGGCTGCGTCTTAATTATCACAAATGTCAGTTACTCTTGGTTGTGAATCTGGAGATTTCTCGGGTTCGGTCCTCCATTAAGGCGCTTAAGGGTGACATCAAACATCTTCAGGTTCTTCGCTGTGTCAAATATCTTGGGATGTGCATCGGTCCTCTGGGATCCTCTGCGGTGTGGACTGAGGCTCTGCGCAAGTTTAGGCTTCGTGTGGGGACCTCTCGCCATCTGGGCTTGGGCCTTACTCGTGCTGCTGTTGCTTTTCGTGTTATGTGTGTCTCCGTGCTGGGCTTTATTCTTCAGCTCAATCCCATTAGCAAGCAGCTTCTTCACGCCTACCGTGAGTCGGTCATGTTCCTCACGGCTGGGCCGAGGAATGCGTTCAGTTACGCGATGTGTACACAGGTATGCCAGCTTAATCTTCCTGTTGAGTTTCCCGAGCTTGCGACGTTGGCCCGGGCGACTTGCTTGCGGTATATACTAAGGCGCCCTGCTGTTCTAGAGGTTTTCGCTCGACTGTCTTCCCTTGAGATCGACGATGACGTGATTATGGTTCGGGTTCGCACAGGCTGGTGGAAATCCAGTTTTCTTTCGTATACGCGCTCCTTGCATGCATGGTACGTGAGCATCCCGATGCGTGTCAATGTGTCTAGCCCCAAGCTCCAAGCACTATTGTATACTCACTGTCTTAAGCAGTTCGGCCCTCGAGAAGATGCCCGCAGTATTCTCTATCGGCGCATTTCGGCCTGGTTCCCTCAGCTTACCCTTCCTATGATGGATCGTTTCTTCCTGAACTCGTTCGTTCTGGTTGAGAAAACCCAACCTTACTTGTTGGTTGGCATTTATCGTTTCTGGTGCCGTGGCCTGTGTTCCTCTCGAAGATTTCATGCCAGATCTGCTGGATGCCTGTTGGGATGCCGAGATGAAGGTTTGCAGGATCTGGATTCTGTCGAGCATTACAGTCGTTGCCCTCGTCTTGCTGCTCTCTTCCGTCGTTGGCTTGGTCATTTATTTATCTCGTCGTCGTGGTTTCCTGAGGGTTCTCCCTGGCTTCTCCCCTATCTTCTGCTTTCACCATCACCGATGTCATCCAATGTTCTGTTTGCTGTTTGTATAGATGCGTTCGTTGCGTCCCACAATAACCGTCGTCTCGGCATTCCTGGCACGGTCGAGCAGCACTTCGAGGCTCGACTGCGCGTGACAGCGCGGAGGCACCGCGTCGTGGCCAACGCTTGGAGGCGCCAGGCTGTTGTGTTTTTCTCCTCCTCCTCCCCCTCCTCTTCCTTTTTGGCAGTGCAAGTTGTTTCAGCTGATGCGGGGCCCTCGGAGCCGCCCCGTGGCAGGCGCCACCAGGGCGGCTCGCGAGGCCGCTGGCTTGCTCACGGTCATCGCCCCCTTTTGGGAGCCGCTGCACAGCGCAGTGGCGAAGGGTGTGTGGCTTCTAACGCTTCACCAAGTACGTTCAGGGGTGGCTCTGGGGAACGGGGATGAAAAAAAAAGAGGCTCCAGGAGGCCGCAGGAGGCCCCAGGAGGTTCCAGGAGATCCCCGGGAGGCTCCGAGGCGGGGTCTGGGGTACCAGAAGGTACAGAAAGTCCCAGGAGGCCCCTGGAGGTTCCAGGAGGCTCCCCAGAGGCTCCTACCAGAAGGTACGTCGGGGCTCGATTTTGGGAGGATGTCTCCGGCGAAATCGCCATACTCTGAGAATCGGGGTCAAAACCGTTGAAATTACAATGTGTTCTTGAAGGTTTTATGTTCGAATGTTGAAATTCCCATGTGTTTTTGGACCCTGACGTGACGATCTGCGTGAGGGGTGCCACCGATTTTCAGAATTTCGAGGATGTCCCGAGCGAAACGGCCAGAAACATCGCGAACGCCGCATTCAATCAATCGGCTCTGAGCTCTTTTCCTTCGGAGAGGTGCATATGATTATATATATATAGAGAGAGAGAGAGAGAGAGAGAGAGAGAGAGAGAGAGAGAGAGAGAGAGAGAGAGAGAAAGAGAGAGAGAGAGAGAGAGAGAGATGCAAGTGGCACGTGTGTGCCCAGGCTCATACAAATTAGCCTGACGAAGGACCCAACCATATGCAGCTGCGAGTGCCGCGCAGGACATGAGACGAAGGAGGGCGGCACGCAAACTAGCTCCTTCTTCTCATAGGCGCCGCGCCACTGCATGAGGTTCCAGGAGACCCCCAGGAGGCTCCGAGGCGGGGTCTGGGGTACCAGAAGGTACAGAAAAGCCCCAGGAGGTTCCAGGAGGCTCCCCAGAGGCTCCCAAGAGGCTCCGAGGCGGGGATTGGGGTACCAGAAGGTACGTCGGGGCTCGATTTGGGAGGATGTCTCAGGCGAAATCGCCATTCTCTAAGAATCGGGGTAAACATCGTTGAAATTACAATGTGTTTTTGAAGGTTTATGTTCGAATGTTGAAATTCCCATGTGTTTGTTGGACCCTGACGTCACGATCTGCGTGAGGGGTGCCACCGGTTTTCAGAATTTCGAGGATGTCCCGAGCGAAACGGCCAGAAAAATCGCGGACGCGGCGCCCCGCGTACGCAATAATCGCCTCTGAGCTCTTTTCCTTCGGAGAGGTGCGTATGAGAGTATGTATGTATGTATGTATGTATGTATGTATGTATGTATGTATGTATATATATATATATATATATTATATATATATATATATATATATATATATATATATATATATATATATACGTCCTGCCCCGCACGATGGCCTCCCCAGTCTTGCCGAGCAGGCTTTGACAGCGCCCGCGGACACCCTGCAGGAATTGGCCTCCCCGAGGTGGTCCCGCAGCCGCCCTCCTTCAGCGCCCCTGGCCAGCACAAGCCACAACCGCCGCCCGAGGATCGGCTACGCGTAAGAGTAACGCTTCGCCGGAGTGACCTTTGGTACGGGCACATTGGGGTCCCCAGGTGGCCGAATGCGATGCGATAGCAGCGGCTTCCGCGCTCGGGTTTGGCACCGCCGCGCCCCCCGTTACGCCGCGCGCGGTCGCTCGTGCCCAGGGCCGCCCCTGCGTGTAGCCGAGAGGAGCCCTCGGGCGTCGCCTTCTCAGCGGTGTCTCGGGTGCAGCCCGCCCCGGGGCCCCCCACCGAGGGGTGGGGGGCTGCCCCCCGCAGCGGCGAAGCCCACGGGGCGCTCAGCGCTCGGGCGTCGCCCGCAGGCCCCGAGGAGAAAGCCCCGGGGGCCGCCCGCGCGGGCGGGCCGAGCGGGAAGGTCGAGCCGCCGCTCCGCTGCCTCGACGGCTACCTCTGGGGCCTGGTGGGCCAGGGTGACCCGAAGTGCCTGGTGCCGCTCTGGCTGTTCCGGCGCTGGGCGCAGGCGGCGACGGCGGGCTTCTGCGCGCTGCTCTTCGGAGCGGCTGCCTTGGTGCTGCTTTCGGCGGCGTCCAGCATGTCCGAGACGTCCGTGGATTACACAGCTGGCGACGTGCAGAGGGAGTTCGTGCTCGAAAAGGGCATCGACGGCGAGGCCCTGATTTCGTACGAGCTGCCCGATGTCCTCGTCAACCAGAAGCGCTTCGTGGAGAGCAAGGACAACTACATCGTGGGCAGCACAATCAGCCGCTACACCTGCGAGGACGCCGAGATCGAGGACGTTGGGTGGCGCCGCTGCCCCAGCCCGCCCGGCTCCGAGGAGTGCGCCAGGTGGCGGGGCTGCCCGCACGGCCCAGACTGCCCTGAGGACGCCATCCAGTCCGACCCGATCCTGCGACGGGTAGCCAACACCTCGTCCTTCCGCCCCTGTGGGCTGGTGGCCCTCTCCATGTTCACCGATAGGTACCGGCTCGTCCGCCTCGAGGACGGGCTGGAGATCAGCCTGACGGAGTCCGGCGTAGCACTCGGCAGCCAGGATGACGTCTACGACGAGAGGGTGCTCCGCACCTCCGGCGGCGTGGGAGCTGGGGCCGAGCTGACGGTGGTCGGGCAGTGCCAAGGGGGGTCACCGATGGTGGGGTCACCAGTTCCTCCCAGAAGCCGAGGTTCCAGGATCGAAGAAGGACAAACACACACACAAACATAAACTTTCGGCGCTCCGCGCGGAGTTCTTGGATCTGCATCAAGTCGGGCCTGCCCCTGCCTGTCCCTCCACGGGAGGAGCATCCCAAAATGGTAAAACAGAATAGTCCGGGGACGTTTGTTTCTTTTGGGGGGGTAAGTATTTTTGACCGTTCGGGGATATTCTTTGAGTATCTTTTCTTTGTCGTCGAACATCCGCCTGTAGGAGGACATGCCCGACCTAACACTAGCAGCGATCCCCCTTGGCACTGCCCCAGGTGGAGGGGGTCCCCAGCTGGCTGACGCTGGAGGACGGCTTCTACGAGCACTTCAAGGTGTGGAGCCGGCAGCCGGCGTCGCCCCGCGTCCGCAACTTGTGGGCCACGGTGCCGGACGGGCTCCGCTCGGGGAGGTACCGGCTGGAGTTCACCGAGAACTCCAGGGTGTGGACCGACGCCTGGAAGGTGCCCTTCAAGCGAGTTACCATTTCGGAGGCCCACATCAGGGAAGGATGGCACCGAACTTCGCCACCACTCCTTCGTTTCCGATTGTCTGGATTTCCGCGGAGGCCCTCGTCGCCACGGCTGGATTCGCTATGATTTCCTGGTCAGAACGCGCCCTGGGAGAGGTCCGGGGAGCAGCGGTATCGGCACCGTTTGGCTTCCCCACCACAAGCGACGACTGTGAACCCATGCCCGCCTTCGTGGTCTGGGTGCCGAGGCGTGATCCCAGGGATGCGGCATGCGCAATCCCATGGATGCGCTCCGCGCGGGGGATCCGCGCAGAGCCGCCCTGCATGCACTGGGTCGCGGCCGAGGAGTCCGGACCGCAAGGCCGTGGACATGGGCAGGTTTCCTGCCCGAGGCCCACGTGCTCGGAAGCTCGGGCGCGTGCGTCTTCCTCGGGGGCCTTTGCCTCGGCATCTGCTGCCTGGAGGCCATCATGACCTGCATCTTCCTGTTCGCACCGATGCTGGCGCCGAGGGCCAGCTTGCTCTGAGCGCAGCGCCGAGTCGCGCGCGTGCAGGGCGTCCCCCGTGGGCCTCAAGGGGCGCGCGAGTGGATGTGTGGCTCGCAGTTGCTGACGCGGAGGGCGGAGGAAGGGCATAACCCCGAAAGGTGCTTGCCTGTGTGACTGTGTCTGCCACGCTGGAGCGAGGAGGGCGAGAGGGCGAGAGAGACCGACAGACCGACGGACCGACGGTCAGAAGGGGAGGGGCGCGTCAACCAAGGCCTCGTGCTCAGCTGAATTGTCACGTGCAGTGCAGTGCAGTTTGTGTGTGGGGTCCTGCGGCCGATGCTTTTTGTATCCGTCCCTAGTCGCTTTCACGACGGATTGTTGTTGGTCTTCTGACTTGTTTGTGACTTTGCACACATGTACGTGCCTTTCATTCGGCTGGTAGAGCGAGCGGCAGATGAACACGCATGGCACGTCCGGGATCCTGTTGTGCAGCCGCTTGAGTGACGTCCTCTCCAGGGAGCCCCATAAACAGCACTCGCCAGCTTCCGCTTCCTTCTCCTCCTCCCCCTCCTTTTCCTCTTCCTCCTCCGTTTCCTCTTCCGTAGTCATTTTGGCTCAAGGTGCTTGTTCCCCTGGGAACAAAACGGATACCGCTAGTCCGCGGCCAGTTCCAACCAGTTTTTGCCAGGGCCTGATTCGCCTCAGGTCCCTGGGCGTCCCCTGCTGCCCGCAGGTGAGCACGCGCTCGACGTGGCTTGTGGCTCTGTGGCTGGCCTCGCTGTAACTCCTCGGTGCAGGCGAGGGACCAGGGTGCCTGGCGGCCGCGCCGAGGCAACGCCCGACTGGTACTGCAAGTTCTGCACGTATGAGCGCGGGCCTAAGGTCGAGATGCCCGTGGTCACCTTCGGGACGAAGAAGAAGTGCCACTTCTGCGGGGTGGATAAATCGGTGGCCTTCCTTGGTCGAGCCCGTGGGTACGAAGGCGTCTCACGCCGTCGCCCGCAGAACGGACCAGGGTCCGCGGGCGCGCCCAGCTATCTGCAGGTGGCCCAGGAACCGATGATGCGGAAAGAATTCGCTAAGTTGCCGGAGGCGGTCAAGGAGCTGCGGGCTGCGAACAAGGCCAAGGGTCCACTGCCTGAGCTGGCGAACGCCACTGAAGAGGGGGCCGCTGAGGACGCGGACGAGGTGCGTAAGAAGGTCCTGGCTCAGCTGGATGACGAGCTGCGTAGCCTCCGCGCTATCACGTCGCCGTCGGAGCTGGTCAAGGACGCGATTGGCAAGCTGGAGGAGCAACGCCACAAACTGGTGGAGGAGCTCCGCTCGAATAAGCCCGTCCTCACCCAGTTGCTGGCGGTGCAGAAAAGCTGAAGGCGAAGCAGGACGCGATGGCCAAGCAGGAGGGGGCGGTCGCCCAGGCTGAGGAGGCGGTCGTCAAGGCCCAGAGGGCACTCGAGGACGAGACGGGCCAGGACCAAGACGCTGCGGGTGGAGGAGCTCGAGCTGGAGACAACGATGCGGGAGCTCAACGCCTTGGTCCCCAAGCCGCCAGACGAGAAGGACACGCCCTTGGGCAAGGGCCCCGACATCAACTTTCGGGGTTCGGAGGAGCTGCTCAAGGAGCTTGGCGCCTCGGGCGAAGTCACGGAGCCAGTCCTGTCCCACCCGAAGTTGGCCGAGAAGGTGCTGTCCCAGCCAGTTGCTGCTGAGCGTGCTCGGCCTGCTCCCGAGGGTGCTCCCGGCGAGACTGGCTTGCAGCCGCCCGACCTCGAGCGTCTCAGCAGCGCCGCGGACAGGGCGCCGATCGAGATGTTGCGGGCCAGCCTCTCTGACGCGGGAGTCGCCGCACCTGCCGAAGAGGCCATCAGGACCATGGCGCACAGGATGGTGGCGGCCTTCAGCCAGTGGGCATGCAGGGCGTACTAAGGTGGGAGGCTTCAGTGCGGTGGTGATCTGTGCGCTGGTCAAGATGGCGGAAGTTGCATCAGCAGGGAGTGCCATGGGCAGTTTGGGGGCTGCCAAAGATGTGATGACCGGAGTACTGAAGGAGTACTTCGCGGAAGCTCCTGAAGGCGACCTTTTCGCGGTGCAGGAGGGCCACGTGCGCGACCTGGGCTACCATGGATTGTGGGCCCCAGGCCAGGCCAGGGGCGCTCGAGGTTTCGGGCGGTGTGCCACGTGCGCTGGGGAGTGAAGGGCGGCTTGGTCGTCGTCGTTGTGTACCTGGGGCACGCAGTCGGCATGGATGACGACAACGGCGACGCCGTCCATGAGCTGGTGTCCTACCTGCGCGTGCTCAATGCGCGCGGGCTCGGCCGGGTGACCATGGGCGACTGGGGCATGGAGGCTGACGAGCTCAAGGGTCCGTGGCTCGAGGAGGCGCGAGGCATCCCCATGGCGCCGTCCGCGCCGACCTGGTGGCAAGGTGCCGAAGGCTCCACCCTGGACCACGTCGTCGTGGCGCCGAACCTGGGCCCCTGGCTGAGCGAGGCGCAAGTCGCGACCGATGCGGCGCTGTACCCGCGCTACCCTGTCCACGTGAGCATCTCCGCGCTGGGCCGCGAGGACTGCGCGCGGGTCGCAGTCGAGCCGCGGGGGCTCGCAGCGGTGGCGCCGGTGGGGGCGGCGCCCTTTCCTCGTGAGCGCATGCGGGAGAAGGCGCCCCCGCTGGTCTTCAGCGCGTCCGAGGCCACAGGCTTGGCACAGGCATGGGGCGCAGCTGTCAGCGCGGCGGAGGCCGAGCCATGTGACCGCCGGTACCTGGTTGGCGAAGAGGAGGCAGCATATGGGCAGAGGGTGCGAGCCTGCCTTCAAGCTGGCGCAGCCCAAGTGGAAGCCACCCCGCACGGGGGAGCTTGACGGCCCGACGGTGAGCGCTCACATGGTGGCGTCCCGATGGGCGAAGCATTTGGACGCCTGCCGCAGGCGTCTCATCATGCTGCTGGCGGCGAGCAGCACGGAGCCCCCCCCGCGCTTCGAGGTCGGCTCCGTGGGCGCCCTGCACGAGGCGACGACCAGCTCGGGTGGGGCGGGGGCGGCCGGCGCGGCAGCCGACCTGATCAGTGTGTATAGACGGCGTGCCCCTGACCATCGATCGCGAGCGCCAGTTCGATCTGGCCGGGAGGAGCGGGTCGGAAAACCTGAGCGGCGTTGTGGCGGCTGCTACGTGGACGATGTGGCCTCTGTGGGCTAGGGTGGAGGCCCGCCTGTGCGAGGTGCTGGCTTGGGCGACCCATCGCAGGACCCTTTCGGCGAGCTCGACAGGGGGCTGAACGAGGCGGACGGAGATGTCGACCTGGTTGGGGTCATGGGCCGCGCGGGACATCGCTCGAATTCTGGCCCGCTTCTCGGGGTGCTCGAGCACGGACCTGGCCCGCTCTTCGAGGGTCCTACTTCAGCGAGGGGGTGTGCGGAGTATGGCTCGTGCTCTGGCCCGCTCCTCGGAGGGCTCGAGCATGGGCCTGGCCCGCTCCTCGGGGGTCCTTCGGCGGTGGGCGCAGGCGCTGGCGTCGGATCGCGAAGTCCTGGTGTGCCACTGCGGCGACCAGGCTCTGTCGCCACGGGTGTCAAAGCGCAATGTCCTGGCGTGCCATTGCGGCTGCTGGGCCCGGCATCGCCGCGCGGCTCTGTGCTGGATTCGGCGCGGTGCGGAGTATTATTCGAGCTCTGGCCTGCTGCTCGGGTGGCTCGAGCGCGGACCTGGCCCGCGCTTCGGGTGCCCTACTTCGGCGGGGGTGTGCGCCGAGTATGGCTCGAGCTCCGGCCCGCTCCTCGGGGGGCTCGAGCGTGGACCTGGCCTGCTTCCCGGGTGTCCTAGTGAGGTGGAGGCGCGAGCTGAACCGTGTCGCGGGGCTACCCTGCGGACCTGGCCCGCTCCTCGGGGGTCCCTCTGAGCATCGCCCGAGCACTGGCCCGCTCCTCGGGGTTCTCGGGCATGGAGCTGGCCCGCTCATCTACGGTGCTGCAGAGGTGCTCTGGCCCGCTTCTCGGGGAGATCGCGGGGGGGCCCGACTCGCCCCCCCAGGCCGACCGCCGTGGCCAGGCCGCCTACGCCTGGGTCGACGTGGAGGCCGTGATGCCCGTGGGCCCGCCTAGTGCCGCGAGCCCTGGTCTGGGGGCTGCCGCTGGCGCGAGGGGCGCGCCGCTATTGGAGGGGTGGCGCGGGCGGGGTCCGACCTCCACGAGGGGCTGCGTGATGGTCAGGGGAGGGTTAAGTGGGCAGCTCGCTGAGCACCCGAAGGCCCCCTCCCCGAGGCAGGCACAGCCTCGCGACTGCCCCTGGTGGGTGAGCGACGACCAGGTGTTGATCGGCGAGTCGGCCAGGGGGGCCAGGGCGCGCTTGGCCCGCTGGCGTCTGCTGGTCACGAAGGGGCTCGGCGAGGTGGATGTGGCTGGCCCGACGTGAGCGCGGTGACTGGCCAAGGGCGTGCTCCTCCTCTGGGGCCGTGGCCCAAGTCCAGCGTGGGGGGCCCAGGCCAACGTCGAGAAGGACGTAGAACTGCTCCTTGATACCCACCGCTACTACGCCAACGTGGGGAAGTCGAGACGCGTCAGGAGCCAGCCCCCCGTGAAGGTGGTCCAGTGGTTCGATGGGGGACTGGCGCAGATTGGCCATGGCCAGTGGGGCGTGCAGGTCCAGAGGATCGCAGACGAGGCCCAGCGACTCACCAAGGGCTACAACAAGGAGCGCGAGAAGGAGTGGCGAAGCTGGGCTGCCAAGAGCCGGGCGTCGCGCGCCTTCACCAGGCTGCCTGCGGCGGCCGAGGTGAGGCGGGCCACCGCGCGGGGCTGCCCGCGCCAGATGGCGGGCCGCGAGCTCCAGGAGTGGGCCGATGTTTGGACGTGCCACGATGAGACAGCCATGGCGAAGCCGCCTGACTTCGACTGCTGGGGCGAGCTGCCGAGGACGGGCGTCGACCACCCCCGCAAGGCCGCGCTCCGATTTAAAGAGAAGACCGCCGTCGGCCAAAGGGGCGTTGCCCCGCGAGCCCTCTGGCAGCTCAGTGACATGAGCATGTTTGTGATGTCCGCGCTCTTCTGCCAGCGCGAGAAGCTTGAGGAGTGGCCGAGCAGGTTGCACGCGGTTCTGGTGTGACTTCTCAAGGAGAGCGGGGGTTGCAGGCTGATTGCCCTGGTCTGCTCATGTCTGCGGCTATGGGCCAAGGCGAGGTCTACAGTCTCGAGAGAGTGGATGGCCAGCGCGGGCTTGCCCAACCTGTGGGGCACGGGAGGCGCGGGCAGGACGTCGCCAGCGGCGGCCTTCACCGCGACCTGGCGGCAGAGATCGCGAGTCTCAGTGAGGGCCGCAGCGTCGCCGTGCTCCTCGCGACGCATGGAAGGCGTTCGACAGCCTTATCAGGAGATAGGCGAGACAGGAGGCCAAATGCATGGGCTACCCCCGACGCCTCATGTGGGCGATCCTCAAGTACCACCACTTGCCGAGACGCTTGAAGGCGCATGGCTCGCTCTCGAGGGCCCTCACGGCGCGCCGGGGCATCCTCGCGGGCTGCTCTCACTCGATGGCGGCGCTGGCGGCGGCGACGGCCAGGGCGCTCAGGCGGCTCGCCAGGTTCGACGTCATCCCGAGGGCGCTGGCCGACGCCACCTCCGTGCAGTGGGTCGGCCAGGAATTGCAGGGGGTGCGGGTGTTTTGGGGGGCCGTCAAGCGCTGCAAGCATGACGTCGAGGACGTGGGCCTGGTGCAGCAGGTGCTCAAGTCGGGGTACGTGGCATCGTCGCGGCCGGGGAGAGCGGCGGCTGTGCCCGTCGCTAAGCGGGTCAAGATCGGGGCCTGCCGACACGTGCGGAATCTGGGCCATGACTTCAACGGCGCCAGGGCGAGGAGCACCGTCGCCAGGGCCAGGCTCTGGAAGCTTCGTCCACGTGCTCGTCGCGCGCTGAAGCTGAGGCGCGCTGCGGGGGCCAGAGTGGCGTGCCTGTGGCAGACGGGCCTCCTGCCAGCCGCAGCCCACGGCGCTGGCACGGGCGGAGTAGCCCCGCCTGAGCTGGCAGCGATGCGCACAGAGGTCGCGCGGCGAACGGGAGCCAGTGGGCGTGGAGGCAGCATCGCGCTCTACCTGGCCAGCCAGAAGAACCCGTGCCACGACCCGATGTCCGCGGCGACAGTCGAGCCGCTCATGTAGTACTCGAGGCTGATCTGGCAGCGGAAGATTGGGCCAGGCGCGATGGCGCGTGCCTGGCGCGTGCTGTTGGACAGGATTGAGGCCGGGGAGGACAAGCTCACGTGGGCGCCCGTCAAGGGCCCGCTGAAGGTAGTCATCCCTTCGCTCCAGCGGATCGGCTGGGTCATGTTTTCGTCGCTCATGATCAAGCCAGATGAGGGGCCAGTGATCTCGCTCCTGGCCACACCGCCTCGGTTTTTCGTAATCTCCTTCGCCAGGGGACCCGGCGCTGGCAGATGTGCCAGACTGCCGAGCACCATTCTGCTGTGCCGCCGAGCCGTCCGCTCTGGCCGAGAGGCCTGCGCGCTTGCGTGGGGGGTGGGGTGGGGCGGCGACGGTGACGGGGGCGGGGCGGGTGGGGGCGCTGCGTAGCCTGTGGTCAGATCCTCTGTGGCCCAAGGCTAAGCTTTATAAGCGTGGTCTGCGTGATGATCAGAGGTGCAGGTCCTGTCCGCACGAGGCCGAGGCATTGGCACATTGGGCCATGCTTTTGTTGAGTGCCCTGCGTTGTCCCAGCGCTTGCTGGAGGGCGAGGGGGACTGTGGCCTCGGTCCGAAGCTGGCCGAGGCTCGCGACGCAATGTTGGAGCACGGGCCGATCGGAGAGGGCCGGCAGGACCTTGACTGGTTTGCGATTGCGATTGGGATTCTTCGGTGGCCCAACACTGATGCGCCGCAGCCGCCGAGTGCCGAGTGACCCACCTGGTTTTTTTCTGGGGCGACTGGGGCACGCCCAAGGCAGACTGGAGTGACTGCGTGTGCTACTGACGGCTCTGGATACCACAGTGATGTTCCAGAGCTGCGGCGCTGTGGCTGGTCAGCTGTCATGCTCAATGCCAATGGGTTCCCGCGCGCGCGGTGCGCGGTGGGCTCGCAGGCCCGCGGCAGACAGTTGGACAGGCCGAGAGAATAGCTGGTCTGAAGGCGTCGCAATATATGCCGTCGGTCAGGCTGGTGGTCAGCGATCTGCTCGGGTTTGTGCAAGAAGGAGAGCTTTGGCGCCAGGGTGCAGTTGAGCAAGTGGCCCGTGCCAGTGCCGCGCGCCGAGGTGCATGGGCGCACCATGCGAGATTGCAGCGTGAGCCTCCTAGTCTTGCCTGGGCCCCCGCCCACGTGACAGCGGATGAGGTTCTCTTCCCTGCTCCTGAGGACCCTCCGCCCCCTCCCTACCTCTGGCTTGTGGGAAACATGTGGGCGGATTTTTTCGCAAAGCTAGGAGCCCGTCGATCAAGGCCCCCGATGTGCATGCGGGACTCTACAAGAAGAGTCTCTCAGCGGCCGCCCAGTAGGCCAAGAGTTTAGGCTGGGCGGTCCAGCGGAACTACCAGCTCGAGCTCTGGGCCGAGGCTGCGGTTCTGACGGCTGGCGCTCGGAAGCCGACGCCTGCCGGGAGTCAATTATTTTGGCGGCTCCACGAGCATGACCTCGTGGAGGTCGGGGAGTGTTCCTTTTTCCAGGAAGTGCAGGCGAGCGGCCAAAACTTTCGAGGCTTGGCGACAGTTGGTGGGAGGCACTAACCGAAAATGCCTCCCGTCTGCCATTCACACCCTGCAGGCCAGGATCCTGGAGGCTGCCGCCGTCAACCGCCTGCTTGGGGCGTCGATGGGGTCTGTGGGTGCTGGGCTGTCTGGGGTGGGGCCGTCTGGCGTGGGGGCGGGGGGGCCGTCTGTGGACGGGGCCTCGCCTGGCCTGGGCCCTGCGGGGTCGCCTGGGGAGGGGCCTGTGCTTGCCCGTGAGGGTGCGGCTGGGGCCCCTGGGGGTGTAGCCTCGGGTTCCGGGGAGCCTCAGGCGGGGCCGCCGAGGTTCGCCGCGCTTGGGGGACACGACGTTACCACCACGGGTGTGGTCGTCTGGCGTCGGCGGTGCGGGGCCTACGGGTCCGTCAGGGTGGGGGAGGCGTTCGGGGCCCCCTGCCCTGACCCCCCAAGACTTGGCCCCCAGCAGGCGGCGCGTCCTGAACCGGCTGCTGGGGGGCAAACACCCTAAGTCTGGCAGGCCCCTGGAAGGGGGGGTGACTGACTGGGTTTGTTTCTCTTCTTTCCCGGCTAGAGCTGTGTCTGTGAGCAGGCGCTGCCTCGGTAGGTCGTTCCTCGTTCTTCCTCCTTTTCCTCCTCTTCCTCTTCCTCTTTCTTCTCCTCCCTCCTCTCTTTCCCCATTGTTGCGGTCTTCGGATTTGTGGTTGGCAGGAATGTCGAGTACATCTCTCCCCACTCTTACGGAAGGGTGGTGCCGCGTGCGGGCAGAATTCTCTTCTCGAGCGGTCGGGCGCTTGTGAATGCGGCCTAGAAGATTCGGGCTGACGCCTAGCACGAGGCGCCAACGCGGCCGGCTGCACCAGCGCGGCGCATGCGAGCGGCAGAGCGCCCCTCCTTGCTGCCATGCGTTCTGAGGCCGACGGCGCCTCCGCCGTAATGATCTGTTGCACCTGTTGCCGTCCCCCCATTTGTGCTCCCTCCGTTGCTCCACGCCGCGCGCGGTCGCTCGTGCCCAGGGCCGCCCCTGCGTGTAGCCGAGAGGAGCCCTCGGGCGTCGCCTTCTCGGCGGTGTCTCGGGTGCAGCCCGCCCCGGGCCCCCCCACCGAGGGGTGGGGGGCTGCCCCCCGCAGCGGCGAAGCCCACGGGGCGCTCAGCGCTCGGGCGTCGCCCGCAGGCCCCGAGGAGAAAGCCCCGGGGGCCGCCCGCGCGGGCGGGCCGAGCGGGAAGGTCGAGCCGCCGCTCCGCTGCCTCGACGGCTACCTCTGGGGCCTGGTGGGCCAGGGCGACCCCAAGTGCCTGGTGCCGCTCTGGCTGTTCCGGCGCTGGGCGCAGGCGGCGACGGCGGGCTTCTGCGCGCTGCTCTTCGGAGCGGCTGCCTTGGTGCTGCTTTCGGCGGCGTCCAGCATGTCCGAGACGTCCGTGGATTACACAGCTGGCGACGTGCAGAGGGAGTTCGTGCTCGAAGAGGGCATCGACGGCGAGGCCCTGATCTCGTACGAGCTGCCCGATGTCCTCGTCAACCAGAAGCGCTTCGTGGAGAGCAAGGACAACTACATCGTGGGCAGCACAATCAGCCGCTACACCTGCGAGGACGCCGAGATCGAGGACGTTGGGTGGCGCCGCTGCCCCAGCCCGCCCGGCTCCGAGGAGTGCGCCAGGTGGCGGGGCTGCCCGCACGGCCCAGACTGCCCTGGGGACGCCATCCAGTCCGACCCGATCCTGCGACGGGTAGCCAACACCTCGTCCTTCCGCCCCTGCGGGCTGGTGGCCCTCTCCATGTTCACCGATAGGTACCGGCTCGTCCGCCTCGAGGACGGGCTGGAGATCAGCCTGACGGAGTCCGGCGTAGCACTCGGCAGCCAGGATGACGTCTACGACGAGAGGGTGCTCCGCACCTCCGGCGGCGTGGGAGCTGGGGCCGAGCTGACGGTGGTCGGGCAGTGCCAAGGGGGGTCACCGATGGTGGGGTCACCAGTTCCTCCCAGAAGCCGAGGTTCCAGGATCGAAGAAGGACAAACACACACACACACACAAACATAAACTTTCGGCGCTCCGCGCGGAGTTCTTGGATCTGCATCAAGTCGGGCCTGCCCCTGCCTGTCCCTCCACGGAGGGAGCATCCCAAAATGGTAAAACAGAATAGTCCGGGGACGTTTTTTCTTTTGGGGGGGTAAGTATTTTTGACCGTTCGGGGATATTCTTTGAGTATCTTTTCTTTGTCGTCGAACATCCGCCTGTAGGAGGACATGCCCGACCTAACACTAGCAGCGATCCCCCTTGGCACTGCCCCAGGTGGAGGGGGTCCCCAGCTGGCTGACGCTGGAGGACGGCTTCTACGAGCACTTCAAGGTGTGGAGCCGGCAGCCGGCGTCGCCCCGCGTCCGCAACTTGTGGGCCACGGTGCCGGACGGGCTCCGCTCGGGGAGGTACCGGCTGGAGTTCACCGAGAACTCCAGGGTGTGGACCGACGCCTGGAAGGTGCCCTTCAAGCGAGTTACCATTTCGGAGGCCCACATCAGGGAAGGATGGTACCGAACTTCGCCACCACTCCTTCGTTTCCGATTGTCTGGATTTCCGCGGAGGCCCTCGTCGCCACGGCTGGATTCGCTTTGATTTCCTGGTCAGAACGCGCCCTGGGAGAGGTCCGGGGAGCAGTGGTATCGGCACCGTTTGGCTTCCCCACCACAAGCGACGACTGTTAACCCATGCCCGCCTTCGTGGTCTGGGTGCCGAGGCGTGATCCCAGGGATGCGGCATGCGCAATCCCATGGATGCGCTCCGCGCGGGGGATCCGCGCAGAGCCGCCCTGCATGCACTGGGTCGCGGCCGAGGAGTCCGGACCGCAAGGCCGTGGACATGGGCAGGTTTCCTGCCCGAGGCCCACGTGCTCGGAAGCTCGGGCGCGTGCGTCTTCCTCGGGGGCCTTTGCCTCGGCATCTGCTGCCTGGAGGCCATCATGACCTGCATCTTCCTGTTCGCACCGATGCTGGCGCCGAGGGCCAGCTTGCTCTGAGCGCAGCGCCGAGTCGCGCGCGTGCAGGGCGTCCCCCGTGAGCCTCAAGGGGCGCGCGAGTGGATGTGTGGCTCGCAGTTGCTGACGCGGAGGGTGGAGGAAGGGCATAACCCCGAAAGGTGCTTGCCTGTGTCTCTGCCACGCTGGAGCGAGGAGGGCGAGAGGGCGAGAGAGACCGACAGACCGACGGAACGACGGTAAGAAGGGGAGGGGCGCGTCAACCAAGGCCTCGTGCTCAGCTGAATTGTCACGTGCAGTGCAGTGCAGTTTGTGTCCGGGGTCCTGCGGCCGATGCTTTTTGTATCCGTCCCTAGTCGCTTTCACGACGGATTGTTGTTGGTCTTCTGACTTGTTTGTGACTTTGCATACATGTACGTGCCTTTCATTCGGCTGGTAGAGCGAGCGGCAGATGAACACGCATTGCATGTCCGGGATCCTGTTGTGCAGCCGCTCGAGTGACGTCCTCTCCAGGGAGCCCCATAAACAGCACTCGCCAGCTTCCGAACCGCTCGCTCAGGCGACGAGTGTACCCTCTCCTCTCCTCCTCCTTTTCCTCCTCCTCCTTTTCCTTTCGGCCCAGTCGTGGAACGCCTTGACGTCGTCGGCGCCCCACTTCGACATCACCGCGCCGTCGGCAATCGCGGGCTTGAAGAGGCTCCTTGGCTCGAGGCGAAGGAAATCGATCTTCTTGGCGGTGACGACGCTCGGCTTCAGGTCAGAGCGGTCACGCGCGTCGATCTGGCAAGCCGAGATGGCGAGGCAGGTCGTCCTAGGAGCGGACGACTTCCCGACGCGAGTCTTCCCGATCCACGCGATCGAATGCACGTCGTGAGTGCGCAGTGCGGGGGCTGTGGTGTTGTTCAGGATCGTCGGGTGGAGCTGCCTCAACGCGTGGCGCTGCGACATCAGCGTCCGCGCGCCCGCGGTGCCGTCGGCGTAGTTCCGCGAGCTCTCCTGCGAGGCCGCCAGACGGACGCGCGCCCGAGCACCTCCCCTCAAGCTGGCGCGACGCTCAGATCTTCTCCCAGCGCGAGGGGGGCGCGATCTACGCCGCCCGTCCGTCTCGCCGCCCGGTCCTTGACATCCCCAGGCGTCCGCCCGAAGATCGGACTGCCCTCGAGGTGGATCTGATCATCCGTCCACTCGACGAATTGGTTCTGGGCGTTGCTTCTGGTCCACGATCGAGAACGAAGGCGTAACCAGCCGCCCGAGCAATCTTGTCGCAAGTGCCCGCTTCGGCTGCCTTCTTAACGGACGGCTGCGCGAAGTGCCGGTGCTGCACGCCCCCCGGGCGATCCATGAAGTGGAACAATTTGCAAGCCCTCTTCGCGTCAGAGGCGCGGCCCCAGTGGATCGTCAGCGGCGCGCCCACGCTGAACAAATATCTCACCAAGTCCACGCGAATACTTTCATCGATCTTGACATACTTCAGCACCGACTGCACCCCACCGAAGTCGGTGGGCAGAACGCGGGTTTGCATCGTGAATGCCAGCTCTCCCGTGTCCTTCGGCTTAAACAGAAACGGCAAGGACGCGTAGTCGCCGTGGCGCATGATGTCGACCATGTCCGCAGCGCGTGTGTCGGCCAGCTCCTGGCGCTCCATTCCAATCTTGATCCAGTCTACGGCTTGCTTCAATTTGACCAGGTTGTCGACGTCTCTCAATGGCATTTCTCGGAGACGCTAGCAACCAGGCGGGTCTGACTCGAAGCGCGCGGGCTTGTCGAGCCAACTGTGCGGGCTCAGAGTGTCCATGCTGCCCCAGGCTTGCGCGATCTGCTCGGTGGCGGACTCGTCCCCCGCGATCGCCTCCCCCGGATGTTTGGCGCCCCCCGCCACGAGGTTCGCCAATGATCGCAACGAGACGCGATGCAAAGTTGACTGCGAGGCGCACTTGTGGTCTTGAGCCGACGCAGAGCTGCGGGCTCCAGCTATGGGAGAAGATACCGGAATGGGGCAGCCAAGATCTGGACCCACCCCCCCAAGCAGCGTGCCCTCTCTCTCTCCTCTCTCCTCTCTCTTTCTCTCTCCTCCCCTCTCTGTCTGTCTCCGTCGCCGTCGCCGTCTGTCTCTGTCTCTGTCTCAATCTCCGTGTCTGCCTCTCTCTCTCTCTCTTTCCTCCTCCTCCTCCTCCTCCTCCTCCTCCTCCTCCTGTTCCCCCCCCCTCCTCCTCCTCCTCTCTCTCTCTCTCTCCTTCTGCTGGTGTGTGTGTGCTTTTTTGTGGCCGTGGCTCCAAGCCCGTGCGCGGCGCGCGCCAGAGCCCGAGTCGTCGGCGGGGCGCGCCGGGGCGCGCCGTGGCGCGCTGAGGGCGGCCACTGTCTTGGCCGCCCCGGGATCGCGGGCCTCAAAAGGTTGACACCAACACCAACATCGGCGGTGTTCCTCCACCGAGGGAATCAGGAGGGAAAGAAACACACAGACACAATTCATCGTCGATTCCCAGAAAATATGGGAAAATATGGGAAGTGGGCGGGAAGACAGAAACTTAGAAAATATGAGAAAATATGGGGGATTATTTTATTTGTGTGTATTTATTTGTGTGTCCTTGGGCCCCTTCAGGGAAGGAGATCCCGATCTCGGTGATGGTGGTAATACTCCGGCTTCCAAGGTGACCGAACTCTGTTGCCACCGGCACCGGAATCTAGGGGTCAGCTTCCCCCTGGTGGAGGCCACCCCCTTGTGTTGGTGTTGGTGCCAATTTCTAGGCCTCCAAAAGGAGGCAGGTGGCGCTTCGTGCGCGCCTGGAAAGTCCACCGCCAGCTCTCCCAGGGGGCGGTGGCCCCCCTCGAGCGCCTTCTCGGCCGTCTCGGTCGTATGCTTGGTCTTCTGAAGATTCGCCGCCGCCTTCTCCAAGGGAGCCCGCGTCTCGCGCAGCTCCGCCCGCGCGTCCTTGAGGGTGGCCGTCTTCTGCTTGAGCTGCTCCTTGCAGTGGCTGGCAACCGCTTCAGCCGCGGCGGCTTTGTGCTGGGCGGTGTACACATTCCTGCAGTGCGGGTTGGCGCGACGTGACCGCGCGTCCAGGGCGCTCTCAAGGTCGCGCAACTTGTCCACCAAGGGTTTGCGAGCTGCGGCGCGCGCCTTTCTCGCCAGCTTGGTCGCTGCCGGTTTGTTGCCGAGGTCGTGATCTCTTTTCGCGGCCCTTCGTACCTTGTTGCTGTGCAGCTTCTTCTCGTAAGCGGGTGTCCCAGTCTTTGGGTTCCCCATGGTGTCGCGAAGCACGGCGCGCGGAACCAATCAAACCTTGAGCCAAAAACGGTTGCGGATGGTCTAAGCCCGCTCGTGCCGCATCCGCTGGGGGCTCGGTCATTCAGACTGGTGGCGCTCGGGTTACATGCGATCGGTGGGTGCAGGCAGGAAGAGTGCCGTGAGTAAGACAGCGGAACAAGGAGGGATGAGAAGGTATGATGGTGAGCGCCAGGAGGCACCTGAAGAGAGGGATCTTGGCACGATGCGGTTTTTCGAATGCAGACTCGTATTAGAACGAGTTCCCTGGAGAGGGAAGCTCATCATATGATTGCACCAGTTCGTGAGTTTCGACGTTGGCTTCAGACGGCTTGCCATGCTCCGCCTTCTTCTCACAACATCCATCCAGGGAGGGGATGTCGCACACGAGTCGCGAACATTCTTAATCGTTCCGTTCGTCCTGCATCTTCTTCCCCCCTCTCCTCATAAACCATCGCAAACACATGTTTGTCAGGTCGGAGGGTCGGCAAACACGTTAAACACATGTTTCACAGTTTTTGCGCATCTATCCACCTGGGCGCGCATAGATCCCCCCAAACTTGAAAATTCGGAAAACCTGTGTTTTGCATGTGATTCCGAGCCTCTGACCTGAAACAGTGTTGTTTTACAATCCATTCTTTACATGTGGCTTGGCAAGAGGCGCCACGACTAGAGATGAAAGAAGATGATGGGCGCAACCGAAAGGACGGACTATATTGGTCAGGCGCTCTCCTCCTCCTCCCCCTCCTCTTTCTTCCTCTCCCTCCACCTCCCCCTCCCTACTCCTCCTCCTCCTCCTCCTCCTCCTCCTCCTCTTCCTCCTCCTCCTCTTCCTCCTTCTCCTCTTTCTTCCTCGACGCCAAGCTGGAAAACGCTGAAACCGCCCAGGCCTACATCGTGCCTGGCGCCCCTCCTCCTCCTCCTCCTCCTCCTCCTCCTCCTCCTCCTCCTCCTCCCCCTCCTCCTCCTCCGCCTCCTCCTTCTCCGCCCCCTCCGCCTCCTCCCCCTCCTCCTCCCCCTCCTCCTCCGCCTCCTCCCCCTCATCCTCCTCCTCCCCCTCCTCCTCCTCCTCCTCCTCCTCCTCCTCCTCCTCCTCCTTGTCCTCCCCCTCCTCGTCCTCGTCCTCCTCCTCGTTCTCCTAAAAGATTCCGCCTGCTGCACCTCTGCACCTGTCCCCGCTCTTTCCCCCCCTGCCTGTCCCATCGTTCGGCTCGGACCCGGCGTAGAGGCCGACTGCCCGTCTGGATTCTCGCGGCTGGCGGCGCATCGTAGCGTTGCCATTGCGTTCCAAGTCCAGCATAAGCTGAAGGGTGAGGTTGGATGATCGCCTCACCGTCGGTCGGACCTCGGCCTTCATCCGAAGCCACTGCGGACGGCCAAAGTGGCCGTTGGGATTGCATGGTGTTGCGACCTGAGCGGGAAGCTACGCGCGCTCCCCTCCCTCCGTACGGCGGCGGCGGTGGCGGCGACGACGACAACGACGACGACGACGACGACCCGAGGGCGGCGGGGCGCGCGCGCGCGCCGTGAGGGCGCCAAGCTGTGCGCCACCTTCGGCAAGGCTGGTGTCCGGGTGGTGTCCCCCGCGCCGGTCGCTCCGCGTTGGGGCGAGGGGGGGCGCTGCAAAGAAGAGAGGAGGGGGGGCAAGAGAGGGGGGGGGAAAGGGAACTCTCACATCCTCTCGTCGTGAAGAATCAGGACGGAGGTGCTTGCCCATGTTCGGCCTTCGGGGGCCGTCACCAAGAGGGACCGCCAAGATATAGCACATGATGAAAGGCCGATCTTGGGGCAGGGGTTCAGACCTCTAGGGATTCACGTTGCGATGAGAATCACAACGGAGGATGTTTGGGGATGGGGGAGGGAGCGAGAGAGGCAGGGAGGGAGGGGGGGAGCGGAGGAGGCGACGACCACGACGACCGCGACGTCCACGATTGCCACGACGACCATGGCTGCCGACGAAGTCACTATCGAGCCCCACGTCCCCGCACCCTCCCTCATTCCCTGCCTGGCCGTCTATGCCTTCTCTCCCTCTACTTCCACCAGTCCTCCTCCTTAACAGTTTGGGCCCTTCGCGGAAGACGGCGGTCCCGCTGATATTCGCTCATTTTGCGTAAGTCGTTCCGCGAAGTCTCCATCCGATCTTGTGTGACCTGGGTAATTCATGAGTTGACTGAGCTCGCACAGCGGGAGTCACAGCTGTTTTCCAGGAGAAATTCGCATGCAGAGTAAACAATTAGTGGGTGTTCGGGATATGGTTTCGACGAGGGTCGGTACCGATCGTTGCAATTTTTCTCAGGGCCATTTTGGTGGTCTTAGGAGCCAATTGAAGCCTTTGGGATACACGGGCCACAAAGTGCGTGTGGGGTGTGCCGAATTGAGGCTTCGTTGAACCATCTGATGGGTCATTTGAGGGCCCTGCGAGTCCATGAAGCACGACATGCGTGAGGGGGGTGCCGATTTGAGGCTTCCTTCAGCCGTCTTTAGGGACAGCGGACTGCCCCTAGAGGTCCACGGGGCACGGAATGCGCGAGAGGCGTTCCGAATTGAGTTCGGCCTGCATGATGCATGAATTGCTGGAGGAGTGTGTTGCATTTAGGCTCCTTGGGAACTTGATGTGCTAATCCATTATTTGCCGTGCCTCCGAGGCCTGGGGGCGCAGAAAATGTGCGAGGGGTGGGAGCCATCTTCGGGGGAAGAGTCTGACGCCTCCCTCGCCTCGCGCCACTCGAGCCTCTTTGGGAGCCGTTTGGAGGGCCTCTTGGGCCGTCGTGGGGGCATTCTGGACTGTTTGGGTGCCCTCCTGGGCTGTTTTGGGCCACCCTGGAGGAGCCCGTAGGCCGCTTTGGGCCGATATGTGGGGCCGCCCGGGCCGTCTTGAACGGTCAGAAGCCCGACAAGGTGGGAACGCTGAACAAGATCAACACATTTAGATCTAGACACACACATATATATATATATATATATGTACATCGACAAATATGTATATATACATATATCTTTGTATATGTATGTATGTACGTATACGATATATGATGAATGCGTTCGCCAGCATGGACCCCAACCAGTGCGTTCTTGCGCTGTGGAGGTGGGAGCTATGTGGTATAAGCTATGTGAAAGCGATGTCGTGTAAGCTATATCGCTTGAGCTATGGGTCTGACAGCAATGCGCTGTAGGGCATGCTGTGAGCTGCGCGGTGTGAGCTAGAGGTGAAAGCTACGGGATGTAGGCAGCGTGATGCAAGCTGTGCTGTGTAAGCTGTGCGATGCAATATATATATATATATATATATATGTGTACATACACATATGTATATGTACATATATATACATATATATATACACACATATATATATATATACATATATATATGTGGTGCAAGCTTGGCGGTGTAAGCTGTGTGGCGAAAGCTCTTTCGTGTAAGCTCAGAGCACGGGGCGCCCACGACGCGCCCACGCCCAACTGGCGCTTGAGGGCGCCGACGGGGCGCCCGCGAGGCGGCGGCAACGCGGGGGAAACCGGGCGAACACATCCACCTACGCAAACGAAATAATAGGGGGCCACATGCGAACCCTCCCCCTCCCCCTCAGAAATCGTGGGGGGTTAGGGGTAGGGTTCGCATGTGTGGCCCCCTGAATAAGAGCCCCGAAGCGCAAACACCTTCTGGCCAATCAGTGTCTCTGCTGTCTCCTTCGGGTCCCTCTTCCCTGTCCTCTGGAGGCATCTTGGGCGGCCTTCCTGGGCTCCCTGACTGCTCGTCGGGGCCGTCTTGAGGCCGTCTTGGAGCGCTCTTGTCCCGAGGTCATAGGGCCCATCACCCATGTGGGGTCACCTTGGAAAGCTCCAGGGCCGCGCCCAGGGCGGAAGCCATCTCTGGCCCGACCTTGCCGGACCTTGCGGATGATTTGCTGGGACCTCGTCGGGGCTCTTCTCTCTTGTGACCCCCAAGGAGACGCCGCTTGCGCGCGGACTGCTAAAAGACAAAGTCTCGTAATTTCTTACCTGGGATTCTGGCACGCCTTTGGCCCGTTGGGCCAGGGCAGAAGAAAAATAAAACCGGGCCAGTAAGTGTGGCATGCTCCCAAAGGTGCATATGCTCCGCGATGTGGCCCAGGAGTGCCACCAGGCCAGGCCTTGTAGGGAGCTGGCCCATGCGGCGGTCACGGCGGCCACGCAGGACTTGGACCCAATGCCCGGGGGCCCGCGTGAAGGAAGGGGACCCGCTGGGGTGCCCCCGCGCTCCGTGCCACCCGCTGGCCCTCGTTGTGGAACGTCGCTGCCGTCGCCTCTGTCGCCGCCGAGTGTGGTCCCTGGTGTTCCCCCCGACTCGCGCCTCGCAGGCCCGCGGTTGTCACATTTTTCGCCGCCCGTTGCCGCCCGTCGCCGCCGCGTGGGTCCCAGGGCTTCGCCCCCCGCATGCCCTGGGCGCCTCACGTGGTCACCCGTCGCCGGCGCCTGGGGCCCTGTGGGTATTCCTGCACGCCCTGTCTGGGGCCCTCGTTGTTCCTGCGCAGTTCGAGTGCGCACCACTGATTCTCCTTCCAGCCAAGCAGTAACCAGCGTGGGCCCCAAGGCGTATTTAAGACATTGCACTGTGGATCTGCAAGCTATGCGGTGCAAAGCAATGCCGTGTAAGCGATGTGGTGCGGCATACGTGGTGCAAGCTGGGAGCGGCAATGAGGCGGCAACGGGCGGCAGCGATTGGCGAAGCCTCGCCAGACCCGCGCCCAGCGCACGAGGCGGCATCGAGGCGGCAACGGGCGGCCACGTGGCAAAACCTCGCCAGGCCAGGCAGCAACGAGGCGGCAACGTGGCTAGAGACCCTGCGTGCGAAGCGGCACCAAGGCGGCAACGAGGCGGCATCGTGGCGAAACCACACCGGACCCACCCAGCGCACGAGGCGGCAACAGGGCGGCCGTCGGCGGCAGGTTGGCGAAATCTCGCCAGACCCAGCTTACGAGGCGGCAGCGAGGCGGCAACGAGTAGGAGAGAGAGTAGCGAGAACCCTTAATCGCAAGCATTTCGTGGGGAGATATTCACTGTACTACCCTCTCCCCTCGGACTTAACGATCCCATCTGGGGTATAGTCTGTTCTAATTCATTGTGCATGGTCGTTCATCAAAAAGTACTATCCCAGGCGACCTCGTAGCGACCTCCCCCTTCATTCCTGTCCACTAATCAAAGTCTGCGCGCGCAGTCGTTCATCTCAGAAGATCATTTTGCAGCAATCCCGTGCAACAGATGCCACAAAGGCCACACGCGCGTGGACATGTCGAAACCATACCAGCCACATTCGTCTTGTGGGTGCCTCAACATAGCAACGTGCCAACCCTTAGGCGCTTCACCAAAAGTCTTGCAGGATTTCTGCCCGCGCGCTCTTTTGAAATCTCATCCCCCTCCTCCGCATTGGAAACAATACTGTTCAACAACAAGTCTGCCAGATTTGCTGAATATCTTCGAGTGCTCTTCCTTTATCTCCCGCATCAGCGCCATCAGATCACCGCCGTTCTCGTCATCGTCGATCGCTGGCATGGCCGCCATCATCAGTCAACCACTCCATCACCGACACATGGGCGTTATCATCGTCATCGTTGTCGCAAGTGTCGAGGCCGTCATTGGCCTTGCCGGAGTCATCGTCATCATCGCCACCACTACCGGTATTATTACCGTTGCCGCCGTTGTTGACGTCATCATGATATTTCGCCCGCCCTAGTCAACGACACTCGCTGAAGTGCCCGCGCGGCAGCTCGGCCTGTGAGACGCGCTGGGAAGTTCTCACTGGTAGGCGCCATTGCGACCGCATCAGCTGTGCCAAACCAGCTGGCCGCTCTCCGCCAGAGCTTGCGCGCGCCAGCGCGGCCGCAGAGGTGCGCCAGCCAGTGCCGAATGGGTGATGCAAAGCAAGTTACGGGTCGGAGGGAGGGGTGCTTGCGCGAGCAGTGGAGTTGACAATGCATTACTGGCGTTGCGTGAGTAGTTATTCCCTCAAGAGAAAGATCGGCTTCCCGCCCGGATTTATCGGGACCCCCGGGGACATTGCAGTAGACATGCGGTTCTGCCACATCGGTCGTTGGCCACATGAGCCGCGCGCCAGCGCGGCCTTTGAAACGAGTTGGGAGGTGTTCCCCTCGGCGAGCGCCATCGCGGCCGCTCTGCGCGGCACCGCGGCCGCAGAGCCGCACTGGCAAGTGCCACCCGGAAGCTGCAGGCGTGGCCGCATTTTTTTCCCCAACAGTTGCGGGTGGGAGGGTGGGATGTTTGCGCGAGTAGTGGAGTTGACAGTTCATGAGTTGACACATTGAACTGCGCCCTGTCGGGTGCAGTCGACAGGTTGCGCTGCGCATGCAGTAGGGACACCAGATAAGAATCTGGCCTGCAAGCGGGTGCCCCAGGGTCATTTCCTCCTCGCGTGGGGCCGCATAGCCCCCAGACATTTTGCGAAGCTCAAGAGTCGACGAAGGATGTCCTCCTAGATTTCCTCTAGCACAATTTCTTCCCGTGTGCGCCTACGGCATTGCAGCGCGTATATTGAGCCCCATCGACTGCATCGCGCAGATTGCACCACAGCGTGTGTGCTTCAGCTTGCCCCCCATAGAATGCACCGCGCAGGTTTCACCGCATGGATCGCATCCCAAGTCTTGCACCCGACAAGATGCACAGGCTCAGAGTTCGGGACCCGCACGGTGGCATCACCCCTTGGCCCTTCCTCCTGGGACCAGCTGTTTGCCCTGGCGCAGTGTTTTCGAGGGCCCCAGCTTCCGAGAGCGAACCCGAGGCCGAAGTCGCGGAAAACGCCTGTCGTCAGTTGTGGCAACGCCCGGAGGTCTGGGGATGATCGGAGAAGAAAAAACAACGCCATAAACATAAGCTTGTGGCGCTCGACGCGAATTTCTTGGATCCGCGCTGGGCCCTCCCCGGCGGCGCCTCCGGCGCCGCCCCTGGCGCTCTCCGCGCGCCAGGGAGGGGGGTTCAGCGCAAATCCAAGAAATCCGCGCGGAGCGCCAAAAGTTTATGTATACGACGTTTTTTTTCCAAGATGAGGATGCGAATGTGCGTGGATGGGGCGCGAGAGTCCAACAGCGTGCCGCGCGGGGAGGTCGACGGCGGCCTCTTTGCCACGCTGCTGTCGGGCCAGTTTTTCGGCTTCTGCTGCACCAACAAGGAGCCTGGGCGACGGCAGCCTACAGTCGGCAGCGAAGCCCGGGGGGAAAATGGGAAGGGGCGGGCCTCCTCAGAGGGCTCGGAAGTCCCTCGGCCTTTTGAGAAGCTGTCTAAGCCTTCCCGAAGACGGACGCAGAAAACCTTTCAGAAGGCCAGAGCACCTCTGAGAATTCCCGCCGCCTTCTGGGAAGGCCTTCTCCTTCGCTCCCTCGCTCGCCGTCGACATGGACGTACTTCCGGCCGCCCCGCGCCGCTTCGACGCTGCAGCGATGCTGGCGCCATCGCTCTGGGTCGGGTTCTCTGCCGGGGGCGCGTCTCGGGACCTCTGGCGCCCACAGAAGGACAGGACACTCGCGGCGCGACATCCGCACGTGAAGGGCTGGGTCGGCTGGCTCGGAGGGCCCTTGCCCGAAGAGGGCCCTTGCCATACTGAGGCAAGTGCTCGGGGGCGGCAAAGAGGGGGGTGATGACTAGGGGGGGGGGGGGATATCATGGCGTGGGCCATGATATTTCCCCAGATTTCGTGGCGCCTTTTCTTGTTTCATTACGTCCCCAGCCACCCCCCTGGGCCGCGCACATGCCGCCGGTCATGGTGTGCACCCCCCTCTTGGACACCCCCCTCTTGGCCGCTCCCGAACTATCGCGGCCACGCTCGGTTCATAAATCCTTTGGTGGCCTCTGTCTGGATCGCAGCGAAACCACTCGAGCAGAGTTAACAAATCTTCTGGTCCGTACCCAAATACCTGATCTGTCACGGAGTGCCTCCTGGAGGCGGCGCCTGTGTCCAGCGTGAACGGTAAAAAACTGTCCTCAAGGTCATGCCGACATCGTTCAAGGTTGGACGATCCGCGGGATGGCACAATTCAGGGCCCACGTCGTCAATGTAGGAGCCTGCCAGAGGTCAGGGGCAGCGTGGGGGGGGGGGGGGGCAGGCCCAGGGGCGGGGGAAAGCATCGACCCCAGTCGCGCATTGATCGCAGATAGGGGCCCGAGAATATGGCGGAAATCTCGAGCGGGAGCCTCGCCTGTGAGTGTATTGCGAGGACGTCTCAGGCGGGAGCCCCCTCCCGATGGGTCCGCAGCTCGTGTTACCAACCCGAGCGGGTCATCGGAATTTTGCAGCTATCCTCGCTTCTGGGCTCTTGACGCTTGAATATGGCGGAAGTCTCGAGCGGGAGCCTCGTCTCATACGGTGGGGGCCTTGTTAAGGAATGCGCCCAGGAAGATCAGACCCTGGAGGATTCCTTCTCTGACGAGGGCGTCGGTGATATCCATGGCCAACCCGCGATTGGGGTCCCACGAGCTTCCAGATCCTGGATTCCTTATCCAAGGGTTCCTTATCCAATGCTCACACCGTTCCGTAGCCATTTTGGCTCAAGGCCAGGTCCGCCCGCTTTCGGGCGCGCGGGACCCAGGATGGCGCGGGATGGCGCGGAGTGCGCGCCAAGGCGTTCGGCGGCCCAGCGTGCTGCGGGACGGCAGTGGGCTAAGTGGTCCGCCGACAACGCCGTGCGGCGGCTGACGGACGAGTTGGGGAGGACTCGGGCCCGTCTGGAGGCCGCTGAGCAGGCCTTGGGCGCGGTCATCGGGGATGACGAGGTGGCCCACAGGCTGCAGGCGATGCTCCCCGCGCTGCAGGCCACGCTGGGAGGGTGGACCCCATCCTGGCTCGAGCGCCTGCGCCGCAACGTCGCCCTCCATGCCGAGGCGCAGGGCATGGACATCGTGGCGGCCAGCGCGGCGGAGCTACGTTCGGCGCAGCGGGGACCCCGGCTGGAGCGGCGCGCGGCGGCCGATGGCGCGCTGAGGGCGGATGCGCCTCCCTTCGTCCCCCTCGGCCCCATCGGCGCTGGCGCGCCCGGCGGCGGCGTGCCCCACACGCCGCACGACGCCAACCAGCTGCTGGCGGACCTCATCGCCTACGCCGCCCCCATGCAGGAGGCGCTTCTCGGCGAGGGTTGCCAGCACGCGCAGACCGACGGCATCGACACGGAGCTGGCGGCCGCCGACGGCGGGAGCGGCGGGCCGCAGCTCGATGGCCCCCAGGCCGCTGCGGCCGCCCGCGCCCGCGACCTAGCCGAGCTCCACGACGCCTTCGTGAAGGAGGCCTTCGTGTCGGCGAACGAGGCCTTCGGCGTCCAGGACGACCTGAACCAGCTGATGGCTGATCTGGCGGCGGAGCTCGGCGGCGAGGCCGACTCCAGGTACGCCGCCGCGGCGGAGCCCGGCCCTGGGACAGGTGGATTCAGCCCACCGAAGTCGCAGTCCCAGGGTCGCGGCGAGTTCGTGAAGCCGCACGACGCGGAGGTGAACGCTGCTGGCATCGCGGAGCTCGACGCGCTGTATGCCGCTGCTGGGGGCACGGCGCTGGTGCACGGCAGCGGCGCGCGGGCCCGCGGCGGGTTCGCCCAGGAGGCCGCCCTGAGCGGCGGCACTGCAGGCACCTCGGAGCCCATCGGGCTGTCCGAGGCTGCTGGTGGCGAGGTGCTGCCGCAGGCGTCCGAGGGCACGAACAGCAGTGTGGTTGCTGCGGAGGCCGTGGCTGAGCAGGACGCCTGCGCGGACCTCTCGGCGGATGACCTGCGGGGGCGCCACTCGGAGCCGAGCCCGACCGCGCCCGAGAAGGCCTCGGGCCAATGGCGGTCGGCATCGGACGAGCTCCGAGGCGCGACGTCAGCCCTCCTAATGGACCTGGAGGCGCAGCTGGCGGCCGCGTGGGCGCGCGGGTCGCTTCGGCCTGCCGCCCCCTCTTCCTGAATGCATGAACCCCCTGCGCGCGCGCAGGGCCTACAGAGATAAAACATGCTCACACCGTAGTGAAAGGCGAGGAACTGCATGCGAAACATGCTGATCCTGCTGCCGCTCGCGCGAGAGTTCCTGGAACGCGGGCCGCCAGCTTCCCTGCGGAAGGCGTTCGGGGAGTTCGTCCAAGAGAGCGGGGAGCTCGGGGGCCGAGGCGGAACCGCTCGCGGCAGAGCTGGGCTTCGCGCTGCCTCCCGCCTGAGCGCGGCCGCGACCAGCTCGAGACCTGCGGGGCTGTCCCAATGGGCCCCAGCGGCTTGTGGGGTTGCCCCAACGGCCTGGCCCACGGGGTTGCCCTAGTGGCCTCGCGATCTGACCATCGGAGAACGCGCCCGTGCCAGCTGTGGCGGCAACGGCACACAGGAACATCGATCTGCGCGCCCTTGCAAACAGGGGCGGGGAGGAGGCTGATGGGGGAGAAGAGGCACGAGGACAAGGAGGAGGCAGAGCAGGGTGCGGAAAGAGGGCCCTTGCCAATGCGAAGCCGGAGAAGGGTGATGAGGAGACGGGAAGAGAGACGCTGCACTCACAAGGATTACGATGAGGTTCATACTAGATTCGTATGGGAGGGTCTGATGTGGAGTCTCACCGTCGGAAATCTGTTGCTTCGGAAGATCAGCGAGAGGTGGTGGGGTGAGGCCGCGGCGAGCACTGGGGCTTCCGAAACAAACCAACACAAACACAAGGACACATGACATTTCGTTCACTCCCAAGCCAACAACATCAAAACGCCGTGGAAGCTGGAAGCAACGCTGACTTGGTCGAAGCAGGACACGTCGTGCCCGACCCCGCAGCCACCATCTCCCCCGAGCTGCAGTGGGGGGGGAGGCCGCGCCGAATGCGAGATAGGGTTCCTCTGCCACACGGTCCTGGTTTACCTACGCAACGAACCACCGATTGAAACACGGCTCACCCGTGTAGGCGCCACATCTGAAACAGAACACGAGCGGCTCGCACTTCGCGGTCTGGCGAAAGGTGGTGCACAGAAGGTGGTCATGGGAACTCGCCTCGTCACGCACGCGGCATATGGCCGCCGGGGGTCTTTCGCACCCGTCCATCGGCTGATATGCGTCATAGCAAACAGCGACGCACTGACTGCAACGAAAAACGGGCGGGTCCTCAGAGTCGGTCCCACGGTCCACGCTGACCCAGTAGTGCCATGTCAAAGCACGGGGCCTCGGCGCACAAACGCCCGCACTGTCCCGAACAAACTCCAGTTTGGGAAAAAACAAGAGGACAGCACCATACATCAGAAACACCGCGTTCTGTGGTCGCTTGGAGGGCGGGGGGGGGTTTGGAACCGGACCCCCTCCCTTGGATGGAGGAGGGGGTGGTTCGACCCCCCCCCCTCCCGTGATCGAGCCCCCCCCCCCCCTTCCCCCCTTTTTCTTCTCTGTCCCTCTCCTTGGGCCGGCGCCGGCGTCGGCGGCGGCTGGCGGTGGCGGCGGGGGTGCTGGTGGTGGTGCTGGCCGTGGTGGCTGTGGTGGTCAGGTGGTTTGTGGTGGTTGTGGTGGTGGTGGTGGGTTGTGCTGCTGGTAGTAGTGGTGGTGGTTGTGGCGGTGGTGGTGGTAGTGGTGGTCAGAAAGTGGCGATGGTGGTGGTACTGGTGGTGGGTTGTTGTATTGGTGGTGGTGGTGGCGGTGGTGGTGAGCTGTTGTGGTGGTGGTGGTGGTTATGTGGTGGTTTGGGGGTGGTGGTGGTGGTGGTGGTGGTGGTGGTGGTGGTGGGTTGAGGTAGTGATGGTGGTGGTCGCGGTGGTGGCGGTGGTGGTGGTGGTGGCGTGGTGGTTTGTGGCGGTGGTGATGGTGGTGGTGGGCTGTGGTGTTGGTGGTGGTGTTGGTGCTGCTGGCAGTGGTGTTGCTGGTGGTGGGTGGTGGGTGGTGGGTGCTAGTGGTGGTGGTGGTGGTGGTGGTGGTGGCGGTTGTGGTGGTGGTGTGGTGGTTTGGTGGTGGTGTTGGTGGGGGGTTGTGGTGATGGTGGTGGTTGTGGCTGTGGTGGTGATGGTGGTCGTAATGGTGTGGTGGTTTGTGGTGGTGGTGTTGGTGGTTGTGGTGGGTTGTGGTGGGTTGTATTTGTGCTGGTGGTGGCGTTTTTGGTGGTGGTGATGCTGAGGTGGTCTGTGGTGATGGTGGTGGTTGTGGTGATGGTGGGTTGTGGTGGTTGTGATGGTGGTCTGTGGTGGTGGCGGTGGTGGTGGTGGTATGGTGGTCTCTGGTGGCGGTGGTGGTGGTGGTGGTGGTGGTTGTCATCGTCGCTGCGTCCCCGCCGTCGGCGCTGCTGGCTGCCGCCAGCGCCGGCGCTGGCGCCGGCGCGGTGGGGTGGGCGATTGAAAGTCCCTCCCCCTTTCCTGCATGTGCCCTCTCTGTTCATCGTCGCTGCGTTGGCGTTGCGGCGGCCGCCAGTGCCGGCGCCAGCGCCGGGGGGGGGTTCGGGAAGGGGGGGGGGTCAGGGGGGAGGGGAGTCCCCCTGGTTCTGATCGACGGCGCCGAGTGTTGCGGGGGGGCCCAGCCCCTGGTTCGAAACGCGCCGCCGAATGTTCCCAAGGCAGGCGCCCGTGAAAAGCGCTCTCTGATACATCGAAACCAGCTTGCTGAGGAGGGCAACTTCAGAGTCGAACTCCGCAAGCTCCTCCGCAGGAAGGCTAGGGTGCAGGGTCATAGCATGCTTCGCCAATAGGTCTGCATCAGCATTGCTAAGGACTACCTTGCGCTCATGTGGGGGCAGTGCCTCGATAACTCCCACCCCAGTTCCCGTCATCGAGACATTCGTCATTCTTCAGCTCCCTGGAGAGCACGGCGGCCGCCAGATTTTCATCTTGCCAGGGGTGTGGCGATTGGCTGGGACGCTGTGTTGGTCCGGGCGCGCGTGCTTGCTTCAACATTGCGCCCATCACAGCGTCCATCGCCGTATGGATGGTGCGAAGCCTTAGCTGCTCTGATACGCACGTTGCCGTGTTCAAAACTTCTGTGTTCGAAACGTGCGTGTTCAGTCTACGTGTTGAGCTCCGTATCAAAAAGGCTACCTGTTGTGTGTGGCGTCTCGGGGCAGCTGCTGCGCAGCACGCCCGGGGCGCTTCAGAAACCGGCCTCGCCTTCGGAGCGCTGCGCCTCCGAGGCCGGCGTAAAGTAATAAACCGGCGGCGGGGCCGCCGGCGGAAGGTCTGCGGAAGGCTGTGGAAGTACAAGCGAGACGTCACCGTCGTCGTCGTCGTCGACGTCGTCGTCGTCGTCGTCGTCGTCGTTGTCGTCATCATCATCGTCGTCCTCGTCCTCGTCCTCGTCGTCGTCGTCGTCGTTGTCGTCGTCGTCCTCCTCCTCCTCCTCGTCCTCGGCCTCGCCGCCCACCGCCGAGCTGCACGACGACGACGGAACGTGGCCGAAGGAAAGGCGGCGCCGGGCGTCACCATGTTTGGGTTCAGGGTTCCCGGAGTCGGCTCCATGGGGTGTTCCGGAAGAGTGTTTTCTTGTTGCTTCGGGCTCAGGGGACGGAGGCGTCAGCCACGCTGGCTGCGCGTCGGGCGGCTGCTTGGAGGCATCTTCTGCTGCTGTCTGCGCCATCGCACAGAGACCAACCTTGATCAAGACTCCTTCGGGCTGCCCCTCGTCCCTCTAGAGTCAGGCCGTCTGGGAGCTGGCACCGATTTGCAAGCGTGGTATGCCATGGGGCTAGGGGCACGTCAAGTAGGGGCCCATCAGCAGAACAAACAATCGGTAGGGTGTGGTTTTCCCCAGTTGGTCCCGTTCCAAGGGTTACTTGTGTGTGTGTGTGTGTATGTGTCCTGGCGGACCCGCTCCTGCTCAAGCATGCTGTGCTGCGACATGCCGTGCCATGCCACGCAGAGCGATTGGTATGCTGATATATGCTGCGCGCTGCTGCTACGCAGTGCTAGTGGAATTCGGCTGTGCAATGTCGTGCGTTCCAAAGCTGTGCTATGCTTCGCATTTTGCGTGGCACCTCATTGCGTTGCATTGCGCATACGTGTCTTCGGCACAGGGTTCCCCCATACGCCTTGCTGTGTCTGCCTTTGGCTTGCCCTCGCCGTGCTTGCGGCCGATAGAAGTCCATGGAAAGGAGCCACTAGCTTCGCCACTCATGGTGGCAATGCAGTGGCAAACTTTGCAAACGTACCAGTATTTACTGCACGCGTCAACAGCATGTGCGCCCTTTTACGATGGGCTCTGCATCTGGCAGAGGATCGCACCAGTGCCTCTAATTCCAAATGTGGTACGCAATGACTTGCGTAGACGTTGGCTCAGAGAGGCCACATTGCCTGGCTTCAGCTCGTCGACCTTTCAAGCATGCCTGAGTCCTAGTTTGGTCCTGATCGTATACTTATCTATCAGTATTACCGCTGTTGCAGCGAACGCCACTGGCGCGGTCATGACATCAGGTTTTTTGGTCAGCAGAGATTGCAGCGGCGGTGAAGGTTCTGCCCTGAAAGATGGCGATGTGCTCAGCATTTTTTTCGACGCTGACTCAGATAGTTTCCAGGTTGTGGCTTGCTCAGTGGAGCTCGAGGGTGCTAGGATAATCGGCAGTGGTCTTCTTGACTTGATCCCACATGCCTCGTACAGAAGAAGTTTGGAACGATTAGTGCGCGATGCAGTGCAGCAAGCGCCAGTGGGAGAGCCATGGACGTCCAAGGTGATACTGGAGAGCTTTGTGCTGAATGAGCAGAGGATGTGCGGAATGGAAGTCCAAGCTCAGGCTTCATGGTTTGTCATAAACCCTGAGCCAGCAGGTGATGAAAGCAGAATCCTTGTAGCGCTGCACTTGGTGGCAGCACACATCACAAGAGGGCTCTCGACAGGAGAGACATTGCTCGCAGGGAGCATCGGGAGCGATGCGTCGCGGCGGCTGGGAGCCATTCCCGAGCAGTGCCTTGCTCGTACCAGGTCTGGCGACGACACCAGTGACACCGACACGTGGGACGCGAGCATCTGCCACAGCACAGACGTGCTGCCAGACTACTCCGCGAGCCAGGCCGGGCGCTTCAGCAGAACGAGCCTCGCCGTCGGCGATCGCTTTGCCCCTCGGCGGGAGGCCGGCTGAAGCCGGCAGTAAGGTAATGGCAGCGAATTCGCCGGCGGAAGCTGGCGGAAGGTCACCTCCGCAGATCGAGGGAAGAAACAGTTTCATAAACATAAATGTTCGGAGCCCCGCGCGGATTTCTTGGATCGGCGTTGGGCCCCCCTAGGAGGGGGTCCAGCGTCGATCCAAGAAATCCGCAGAGCTCTGACAGTTTATGTTTATGTTTTTTGTTCTTCCTCTAGACTCTAGCAGAGGTGGGGGCGCAGGACTAGGGGGTCCGAAAGGCAAATGCCTTCGTGACCCAGCTCTGCCATCCCACTGCGTAGCCTCCGAGGGCCACCCCTTTAGCAATATCGTGCGCCACACGTCGCTTGATTTTTACCCCAGTCCCCTCACGAAGTGTTCGTCCCGAAGATGCATTGGGCGCAGTACTGTGAAAAAACGAAGGTCGGCGGAATGCGGTGGTAGTAGACGTAAAAGTGAGACGTCACCATGTGTTGGATCCAGTTTTTTCCCGAGTCGGCAATGTGGGGAGTTCTGGTACATACATTTTTTTCAGATGTTTCGGGCTTAGGGGATGGAGGCGTCACCCGTTACGCTGGCTGCCTGTGAGGTGTCTGTTTTGGGCGTGTATTCTGCTGCCGTCCGCGCCATGACCATCCCTGATTAAGACTCTACCCCTGGTTAGGATACAACTCCTGGGAGTTGAAAGTCAGCATCGGTGCTGATATACCTATGGTCGGAAACCCGCCTAGGTCTGGATACTCCGGCTTGATCACTGGCCTCATCCTGCTCCTTGCCCCCGTCATCAGGTTTGCTAGCCCCCCAGGTCGTTCTTGCGCAGTCCTCCCAGAACTTGCCTCCTAACCCTGGCCCCTACCCCAGGTGAGCGACGCACAACACGGACTCGCTTGCGCCGACATTCGCGCGTGAGCTGCCCGCGTAAGGTCGCGCGCGAGCGCCCTTGTTGCCAATGCGGCGTGCCGCGCCAGCGGCCCGCGTCAGCCGCCGCGTGAGGTCGCCATGCCATCTCGCGCAAGACCCGCCTCTGATCGTCGCCCAGGCCGGCGCCCGCGGCGCCTCGGCGGGCGTGGCCGCCCCGGCGCCCGCCAGGCCGCGGCTCGGCGCCCTCTGCCGGTCCACGCCGCCGATGCGGCACCTGGGGGGGCGCGCAGTGGAAGGGCGAGCAACGGGGGGGCAGCGAGGGCTGCCGACAGGGGGCCCCTTCGGGGTCCCGAAGGGGGCCCCCTTGCCGACCCCGAAGGGGGCCCTCGGGGCCCGAAGAGGGCCACTCTCCCACCCCCCCTTTCGCATCGTCCCCCCATTGCTTCGCGCCCAAGGCACAAGCCCTGTGCCGGCGGCGGGGGCGCGGCCCCGGCGGCCGCGGCGGCGGCAGCTGCAGGGCGGCCGCGCCCCTACGGGCTGCGGCGCCGCGGGGCGGTCCGCGATGCGCCCGGCGACGTCCCTCCGCGGCTGCACGCGGCCCCTCGCGGCGGTGCTTTAGGCCTCCCAAGTGGGGTTCGAGCACTTTACTGGTGAGAATACTTGGTTTCAGGGTTTTGCTCATTGGTCGCAGCAGCGCAGAGGGCTGCACAGCAACGTTGTGTTTGGTATACTACTGTAGCGGTGGCAGCAGCCCTGGCATTACTGGTGGTGTCGCCTGAGATCCTGGCGATTGCATCTTTACGAGCCGGGCGTTTTTGCTTGATTTCGGGCCCCGGGACCCACACAGATAGGTCGATCCGGCTCGAAAGGTGACGCAGAAAGATGGGGTCCGGGGGTCCCGTCGTGAGTTGTTCGCGATGTCGCAATGTTTTGGCAACGTCGGATCGCAGGATCGGAGGATCGTGCCCTATCGCCAATGCATCGGCGGTGCGGCTCGATGTGGAGCCAGATCTTCTCCACGCCGTCGGCGCCGAAGCATCGCCGATACGATGCGATCCTCCGACCCATCAACTCGGACCCCCTGGGGAGGCCTCCAGGTGCTGACTGGGGGCCCGAGCCTCGTGCTGTCGACGTCGGGGTCAAGACACACGCTGAGTACGTCGACGTTGCGCCTGGAGATGCAGAGTGCCACCATGGTCGTGAGCCCGAGCTTTATGATCCGGCACTCGTCGGGGGCGCGCCTCTGCGGGCCGGCAGGGGCGACGCCGGCAGCGTGCCGCGACAAGGGTGCACGCACGGAGCCCCGCCTGGCGCTGCAGCGGCCCTGGAGCCAGCGAGGGCCCCGCACGAGCGCTGCCACGCGGCCATGCCGCCGGGGCCCGTGCCCGGCGCCAGCGAGGAGGACGCGGCGGCCCCTGCAGCCTGGCCACCGCGCGCTGCCAGCGGAGAGGGCACAGGGGGCGCAGCGGCCTCCCCCGAGGGCGCAGCGGCCTCCGCGGCGGCCCGCCCAACGCACGCCGCCGGCGGCGAGGGCGCCGCGCCCCGCTCGGGCCGCTCGCCGCTCGGCTCGGGGCGCTGCGCCGCGGCGGCTGCGCCTGTGCCGGTGCCGCTGCCGGCCGCGCCGCCGGGGACGTGGGGGCCGTGGGCCGCGCGGCGGCCGCCGCCGCGCGTGGGGCGGTTCGCCCGCGGGGAAACTGGCGGGGCAGCGGCCGCAGTGTGCAGCGGCGCGGGCGGGGAGCTGCCGCGGGGCGGTGCGGGCGTCGAGGCGTGGGCCGCCGCGGGCACGGAGGCGCCGCGGGTCGGCGGGGGCACGGTGGCGCAGGCCGACGCGGGCGAGAGCACCGAGGTGCCAGTGGTCGAGGGAGGGCAGGCTGCATAAGCACAGGCTTGTGGAGCTCCGCGGCGAGTCGTGGAGTTGCGTTGGGCCCCCTGGCGGCGACTCTGGCGCCGCCCCTTGCGCGCTCCGCGCGCCATGGAGGGGAGTCAGCGCTGATCCGAGAAATTCGTGCGGAGCTCCAACCTTGTATGTTTATGCAGACTGCTTTTCCTCTAGCTAAGTGGACGGGGCTTCGAGGCGACCACTTGGACTGTTTCTGGGGACGGCTATGGGTGCTGTCTTGTGGAACTCCCCAGAAGAACAAACAATACCGGACAGCGTGAGCATTGTTTCGTGCTCGCTATGCAAAGCGCATCGGGTGCCAAACACGAGTAGCAATATGTGCATGGATCGCGGATGGTATGATCTCGGCCCATAAGAGGTACCCGTTAGGCAGAGCTCAGCGTTCCCAAGGCAACAGCGATCGTGATATCTCACCGTCGTTGCGAGCGGTTCCGCTGGCACCAGAAAACAGATGAGCAAAAGGCGGACCATGCAAAAAGGGGCACGGGGCAGAAAAAGGAAGGCGGACAGAAAAGGAAACGAAGAGGGCCCCAATAGGGCATTCAACGTTATCGTTTCGAAGACCGCCGGGCGGAGTTGAACCAGGCGATCGAGCGCCCCCCCCCCTGGGAGCCTCGGAGAAGCCCCAAGACGTCCTCGCAGGGCCCGAAGGGGTCTCCGAGAGGAGGCAAGAGGGCCCCAAGAGAGCCTCTGGGTCACCCAGAGACGCTCGGGAACCGCTGCCGCGACTAACGACCCCCCCCTCCACATCCTCCTCCTCCTCCTCCTCCTCCTCCTCCTCCTCCTCCTCCTCCTCCTCATCATCATCATCATCATCATCATCATCATCATCATCATCATCCTCGCGATCGGTCGCCAGGCGACTGCCAGCAGGGCCAGGGAAGATCAGTCATATGGCTTGCTCCCCTGGGGCCCGCGATAGAGGGTCTTGAATCGCCTCCGCGCTTGTTGGGTATTGTCATAAACTGGCCACGCCACAACATACGCTGACATTGGGGCCCCCGCTGGCCTTCCCCCCTCTTTGGGAGGGCCCTGCACGAGCCGGCCCCATCGGCATCCCAAGCGGGCACGGAGGTGCAGCTGGACGGCTTCGAGGCGGCGAGCGCGGGTACGCTTGTCTGCCGGCCTCGTGTTCGACTGCGCGACCGCCGCCATCGTAACCGCCCTGTGGCCCCCTCCTCCGGCTGCTCCCACGGCGGAGGGAGCGGGTCCGTGCCGGTGGCCTGCCGCTCGAGCTGGGCGGCGCGGGGAGTGCGGTGGGCCGACCTCGAGGAGGAGGCGGAGGAGGAGGCACAGCGTGTCGACCTGGCAGAGTTGGAACATGGGGGAGGATGGTGATCAGCGCCCTCGGGGTGGGACAGCTCCCCCCTGAGTTCACGACCTGGCCTGAGCCGGAGTTGCAGTCCGCTCAGTTTTTGGCATTGGGCGTGCCCGATGCTGGGGCTCCACGCTGCAGGCCTGGAAGTGGGGAGTGAGGCGGTGAGGCTCGGCGAGATCGTCGACACAGGTGGTGCCGGAGTGGGCATGCAGGAGGTGATTGACGTGGGCTTGCACGCTTCGAAGAAGAACTGCGTAAACGTAACCTTTTGGAGCTCCGCGCGGATTTCTTGGATCCGCGCTGAGCCCCCCTGGCGGCGCCTCCGGCGCCGCCCCTTGCGCGCTCCGCGCGCCAGGGAGGGGGTCCAGCGCGGATCCGAGAAATCAGCGCGGAGCGCCAAAAGTTTCTGTCTATGACGTTTTTTCTACCTGCACCGGTGTGCTCGACAAGCCCGTGCGCTGGCGGCAGGAGTGGCCGTCGGAGGCCTGGAGGTTGACACCAACACCAACTTCTGCGGTGTGCCTCCACCGAGGGCAGATGACCCTGGTTCTGGTGGTGGTGGCATAATATTCGTGCCACCCGGATGGCCGACAAGTCTTCACGCCAACGCCAGAAGCTAGCATCATCTTCCCTTGGTGGAGGCAACCCCCTGCTTTGGTGTTGGTGCCTACGGTGGGGGCCTTGGTTAAGGAATGTGCCCAGGGGGCTTCAGACCCTGGAGGCTTCCTCACGTGATGAGGGCGGCGGTGGTACCCATGGCCACTCCACCATTGCAGCTCCACTGGCTTCCAGGCCCTGGATTCCGCATCTTGGGGTTCCTCATCGGATGCCCACACCGTGTTCCAGGCCTCCAGCGCGAGCGGCTGTTCGGCGGCGTCGCCGTGCCCCCCCCCGCGCAGCAGGCGTGCGAGGTGCGCGCGGCTGCAGGGGGGCGGGCCGCGGGCGCGGCGGGAGCCCCGCGAGGCGGGCCTTCGGATGGCCTCGGCGAGGTCGTGGGCGGCTGCGCGCAGGCGCGCCGGCGGCGCGCCGTCGGGGAATGGCGCCCCACTCATTTTGCACCTATGCCTGCCAGAGGAGGAAGCCCAGACCCCCTCGCGTTGTGACAACATCACGAAGGACCCCTGACGGGCCCCTGACGTTTTCGGCCTCTGGGGGCCCCCGACGGGCCTCGGGACCGCGAAACAGCGACTCAGGATGAACAAAACTTGTCCCGGGGAAGGTGTCCGGACCTCTGGGGGTCGACGCTGCGAAAAAATCACGATGTCGGGGGTCTGGGAAAGGTACCCATACAGCTACCCTTCCCTCGTTTTCTCTCTTTTGGGCCTCCTGGGAGGCCCTCGTCGCCACCGCTGCATTCGCCTCGAAATCCTCGTCAGAACGCACCCCGGGAGAGGTCCGGGGTGTAGCGATATCGGTGCCTTTTGGTTTCCCCAAGCTCATTGTCACCCACGGCTTGGGTGGCCGTTCTCTAGATGCAGAAGCCGCTAGGCAACCCGCATCCGGCGCCAGTGGATTTTATTTCTGCATGCTTCTGCTGCCACGCGCATCAGATGAGCACACCTTGATGTGCATACTATGTTTGGTTTTTGCTCATCTTGCCCCCTGGCCATTCGAGGACCGCAGAGGTCGGCAACATCTTCCGCTCTCCTCCCCCCTCTGCAACCTCTTCCTCCTCCATGACCGCTGTTGTCCAAGTCATCTGATGATACGAACGGCGAGGTCCCGACTGAGAGCGAAGAGGCCATCGTGAGCTTTCCTCTTTGGCGGGCGCCTGGCTTGCTGGATTGTCCTCTCAGGCCTCATGCTGAGCGCCTTCTCCGCATGCTGCTCCGCCTGCGATGGTGCCACAGTCCGACCATGGCTTGAATCATAGCCTCACGGCTGTTCCCTTGGCCTCACGACACGCGCGCCTCCCCGGCAGCAGCCGGCAGTTACACCAGGCTGCGGCGCTGACCAGAATTGTGGAGGGTCATGCCAGATCCTAGATGGCCGGCGGTGGTCGCGCCTCCCTCGGCAGCAGGCGGCAGGCATGCAAGGCTGCGGCTTCTGGATGGGGTGCTGGTGTGGGGGGTGGGAGCGGCGAGAGTGGAAACGGCCCAGGTGTACGCACAGACAGGCAGCTCGGGGTGGCCCCAACCAGTCCCCATCGGGAGCCTTGAGACGGGAGTCAATGCAAACGGGGGTCAGCCAGAGCACCCGATCTTGCAGGATCCTGCAGGGCCAGGGTCGCATTGACCCGGGTTTGGGTGCAGGATCTTGCAGGATTTTGCCAGATCTTTCGCATTGACCCGGGTTTGGGTGCAGGATCTTGTAGGATTTTGCGAGGCTTGATTGACCCGGGTCTGGATTGACCCTGGTCAGAAGGTCCCCGGCCCCACAGAGCAGTCTGGGGGAGGCCTCAGCACGGAGCGCCTGCTGCCGCCGCCATTGGGGGCACGCGGGTGGGCCTGGTGGCTTTCGGGCCACAGCTCGGGCCGCCGGCGGCCGTGCGGGACGATTCGGGCATCCCCGGAACGCCCTCGGCGAGGCGCAATTGCTGAGCATCTCGGGACGAGAGAACCTCCAAGAACCATTAACAATTTCCGCAAGCTTCCGAGGTCGCCGAGGCCGCCTTGGATCACCCCGAGGGTCTGTCGAGGCCAGACTTGGCTACCTTCTGCGGCTGTGTGCCCGCCACCTCAAGCCCCATTAGCGAGGGGCGAAAGGGCTGGGAGGCGATGGCGTCGGGAGGACCCCTTGGCACCCAGACACCCCTAAGTGGCGCCTCTACTCCCAGGGCCTCCCCTGGAACCTCTCCCGGGCTCTCAACTCGGGCTTGGAGGTCGCTCAAACTTTCCCGGCCCCCAGTGCCTTTTAAGATGGCTGCAAGACGGCCCAGGATTGCCTCAAGCCGGCCCAAGGAGCCCCCTCGACGTTCCAAGAGGGGCCCAAATGTACCGCCAAGGAGCCCAAACAGAAAAAGCCTTGGCAAAGTTCATTGACCCTCCGTAGGTTCTAGAGGTGTTTTACTGTTATTGTTTTTTGTCCGTCTTCCGACCGTCCAAGTCGGCTCAAGAGACCTCCAAGATCGCCCCAAGACGGCCCTAAAGACCCAAAGATGCCCAATACTGCCCCAGGAGCGCCGAAGAAGCTCCCCAAGACGGCCCAAGAGGCCCTCCCCTTCGAGACGCCCCCCCAAAACCCACAACATGCGCCGAAGATGGCCCCCCAAAGGTTCTTACACGGGTGTCCACTTGCATGTAGTTGTGCTAGGAGAGTGAAGAATGACATAAACATGCAAACTCGTAGGTCCGCGCGGATTGCTCGAATCGGCGTTGGCACCCCCCTGGCGGCGCCTCCAGCGCCGCCCATGGCGCGCTCCGCGCGCCAGGGAGGGGGGTCCTGCGCCGATTCGAGCAATCTGCGCGGACCTCCGAGTTTTCATGTTCATGTCATTCTTCGTTCCCCAACGTGCGCCCCTCGCCCTAGCCGCAGGCGCCCATGCTCCAGCTCTGGCGTCGCCTGCTCTTGTTCTCCTCCCAAAGCTCAGGAGGGAATTCGTCTGGCGAGTGCAGTTGTGAATGCAGCAATTGTGAATACCATCTTCGCCCGCGCTCCCTATGTGGCCACGGCTTCCCGCCGGAGCCCGACATGCGCAGGAACACGTTCGTGGCCCTCTTCGCGGGCGCCGACGACGACAAGGACGGCGTACCTCTGACCGAGGAGCAGAAGCAGGAGAGGGTTTTGAGAGCCATGAGGGAGAAGGTGGCGTTGCACGTCGACAGGGCGGAGTACGACGCCCAGGCGCGGTTGTTGAAGCAGCACAATGATGGGGCCACGATCCTCGTGAGGGGTGTGTCGCAATGGCCCGGGGCCGCCATGCGAACCCTGCCACTGGCGCCTTCGGTGGAGCTCCCTATGGGGCCACGAACCTCGTGACGGGTGTGCCGACGTGGCCCGAGGCCGCCGTGCGAACCCTGCCACTGGCGCCTTCGCTGGAGCTCACTAGGGGGCCACGATCCTCGTGAAGGGTGTGCCGAAATGGCCCGGGGCCGCCGTGCGAACCCTGCCGCTGGCGCCTTCGGTGGAGTTCCCTACGTGGCCACGATCCTCGTGGAAGGTTTGCCGAAATGGCCCGAGGCTGCCGTGCGAGACCGGCCGCTGGCGCCTTCGGTGGAGCTCCCTATGGGGCCACGATCCTCGAGAGGGGCGTGCCGAAATGGCCCCAGGCCGCCATGCGAGCCCGCGGGCGCATTCGGTGGAGCTCCCTATGGGGCCCCGCGATCCTCGTGAGGGGTGTGCCGACGTGGCCCGAGGCCGCCACGCGAACCCCGCAACTGGCGCTTTCGGTGGAGCTCCCTACGGGGCCAGGGTCCTCGTGAGGGGTGTGCCGAAATGGCCCGAGGCCGCCGCGCGAACCCTGCCACTGGGGGCCTTCGGTGGAGCTTCCTATGGGGCCACGATCCTCGTGAGGGGTGTGCCGACATGGTCCGAGGCCGCCGTGCGAACCCCGCCACTGGGGGCCTTCGGTGGAGCTCCCTATGGGGCCACGGTCCTAGTGAGGGGTGTTCCGAAAAAAGGGCCCGAGACCGCCATGCGAAGAGTGCCACTGGCGCCTTCGGTGGAGCTCCCTATGGGGCCACGATCCTCGACGATCCTTGTGATGGGTGTGCCGAAATGGCCAGATGCCGCCATGCGAACCCGGCCACTGGGGCCTTCGGTGGAGCTCCTTATGGGGCCACGATCCTCGTGACGGGTGTGCCGACATGGCCCGAGGCCGCCACGCGAACCCCGCAACTGGCGCCTTCGGTGGAGCCCCCGATGGGGCCAGGGTCCTCGTGAGGGGTGTGCCGAAATGGCCCGGGCCGCCATGTGAACCCTGCCACTGGGGGCCTTCGGTGGAACTCCCGATGGGGCCAGGGTCCTCGTGAGGGGTGTGCCGAAATGGCCCGAGGCCGCCATGCGAACCCTGCCACTGGGGGCCTTCGGTGGAGCTCCCTATGCGGCCACGATCCTCGTGAGGGGTGTGCCGAAATGGCCCGAGGCCGCCACGCGAACCCTGCCACTGGAGCCTTCGGTGGAGCCCCCGATGGGGCCAGGGTCCTCGTGAGGGGTGTGCCGAAATGGCCCGAGGCCGCCATGTGAACCCTGCCACTGGCGCCTTCGCTGGAGCTCCTTGTGGGGCCACGAAACGCTGCAGTGGATGGGTGAAGCGCAGGGAGGAGGGAGGAGGAAAGGAGAGGAACGCGGGGCACCGTCTCTTCACAACGAGGACCCATCACGACAGGATGGCTGGGGACAAAACCATACACAGACACAGTGAATCGTCGATCACCCGGGAAAAATCCGAAAAGATGGGAAGTGGGGGGAAGACAGAAACCCAAAACATATGCGAAGATATAGGGGAATCCTGGGACATGCGTGTATTTATTTGTGTGCCCCGTGGCCCCTGTCAAAAGGCGTGCAGCTGCCTCTGGCTGCCGTCCTCGGCGAGGGGTTGTGGGCTGCAGGGCTCTCCGCGCGCCGATCGTCGGCGGCCCCCCCTTTGGCGGAGCAGGGCGTGGGCTCCAACGCGGCCCCACGAGACAGACCAGCCCAAATGGGCGAGTTGTGGTCATTGCGATCGTTTTCTTGATCATTGCTTTGCCGATCGGCGCAGGCCCTCGCCCCCCCCCCCCGTGGAGGAGATCTTGGCTTTTCTGGGCGCCTGTTTCGAGCAGGTAGAGTCTTTTCCCCATGGGACGCAGTGTTGCAAACAGCCGCACTCAACAGAGGTCCGGAGCCAGACCCCCCCCCCTCCTCCTCCTCCCCTTTCCGCCCAGTGTCGAAACGCCGAAGAGGAAACCGCTCACCTGGGGGAGCTGTGGCCCTTGCAGTCAGGCCGCTGACATCAGGGGCTCTGGTCCCTGGGCCGTTCCTTAGAGATCCATGATGCCAGGGAGCCCGTTCGTGGCGCTGAGGTTCGCCGTGGCCAGCCAATTGGTACGCAGCACGGTGGGTGTACCCGCCTCGGCGTTGACGCCCCGCTGCCCCCAGACTGCCCCCCGGAGGGGTATCGAAGACGTTCGCAAAAAGTCCCCAGTGGGCCCCAGCAGCACCCCCCCGTACGTGGTCCCCTGCCGGCGCCAGCCGTTGATCGTCCTTGGGTTTTTTGTTGTTGTTGTGTTTTTTCCTTTGTCGCCTTCGAGGGCTATCGTCCGCGTGCCCTCCAGGGCTGGCGGCCGTGCGACTACGACGTGCCGCGCGCCGGTCTTTGTTGCCCTTCCTGCCCCGCTGCCCCCCGTTCTGGCTCGTCCTCGCAGTCCGATTTGTTGCTGCTGTCGCTTCCACCTCGTAATTTCCCTCGGGCTGCCCTTTTGCACTCTGCGGGACGGAGTTCGTTGGCACCCTTGGGAGCCCGCAGACATTGCGGGGGCGTGGTAGAGCGGCAGGACCCGCGCCAGCCGAGGCTGGAGGAGAGGGCGAACGCTGGCCTGGGTGCTAGGAGGTGACCCGCCTCCAGGCAGAATTCATAGATATGGCTGTCGACAATCTTATGTACTTTTAGGTTCCATTGTGTCCTTCACTCCACCTGGCGTCCCGTGTGTTTGGCCTGTCGCCGTCTCTGCCCCACTGGCTGTTTGATGTGCCTGTATGCCTTGCAGACGTCCTCTTAGCCTCTACCGCACCAGACAAAGTTAGGCTTGTCGACACCGAGCTCGTTTTTCAGCCTCTTGTTTAGCGTGCCGGTACGTGCAATAGCCTCCGGCTTACCTTGTGCAACAGCACGTGCACCTCGTTTGACGGCATGCCCGTACAGGTAAAAAAAAGAGGGATGGGAGTCAGGAAGCAGAGCAGGAGAAGATGCAGGATCGGCTCTGGATGCAGGAGTGGCATGCAGGAGCACAGGAGGCAGAGGCAGTGCAAGACGCACGTGGCACGAAAAACCAGCAGAGGGCAGCTGCGCCCGCCGTGGCCAGGAGGCGGAGCAGGATGAGATCGACCTCTCGATCGAGCCGAACGGGGCCGTCGATCCGGACCCCATCGACTCGTCGGCCACCCGGCCGCTCGTTCTTTGCACTCGCATCGCCATCCCTGCTCCTGCTTCTCCCTCGAAGGATTGCAAACAAAAACCGAAGGATTGCAAAAAAAACGAATGATTGCAACAAAAACCTTCTGCACGAAGGATTGCAAAAAACCTTTTGCACGAGGTTTTTTTGCAATCCTTTTGCAATCCTTCGTTCACCGATCCCCGCCTCGCATGGATGAGCCAACCGCAGGAGCCCGGGAGAGCCTTCGCTCGGCGCTTCCGCAGGGCTCCTCCCCGCGCTCCCCGCTGCGTGAGCCGATTCGTGACCCTTCCCTTCACTCCAGTCAGAAGTTGTAAGAATAACCTTCACACTCCATGGGCCCCAGATCTCGTGTGAGAAAATCAAAAACCTGGAATGGTCTCTGGGCGTTCTGTTGGATTTTTTCGCACAACTGTCGTATTTCTCGACCTGGGCTGCTGTTTAAGAAAACGCTTGGAGTGAAGGCCACTTTCTTGGCGCAGGATGTTCTTAACTCTGAGCAGGGGTGTGCTCTCCTTGGGCGGGGCTCCGCCGATTACGTTGCAGGCCGCGGGCTCGGGAGCCCAAATTCTGGAGGTCGAACGCCTCGAGATGGGTTCCTGGAGCTTCCAACGTGGCAGCTCCGGCTTCTCCCCCTCTCTCCGTCCCCCCCCCCCTGCCCCTCCAGCTGGCCTCCGGAAGCCCACGGAGGCCCGTCCCGGCGGTCCCCGCGAGTCGAGCGTCTCGCGGACGGTGGCCCAGGGCGATAACAGGCTCGATGTTCCTTCCTCCCGGCTCCTCCTCCTCCTCCTCCTCCTCCTCCTCCTCCTCCTCCTCCTCCTCCTCCTCCCATCCCCTCCTCCTCAACCCTCCCCTCTTCTTTCCACCCAGACATCCTCCGTCGTATTCTTGTTCGCAGGTGGCTCCCCAGAGGCTCTGGACCCCTGTCCCGGGGCCGGCTTCTCATCCCAAGTCGTTTCCTGATTGGGAGAGGGCATCAGGGCATCTCCCTACAGGTAAGTCGGGCACGTCCCTCTACAGGAGGAATATTCAAAAATAGTCAAACAATAGTATGGGGGCAATGTTTCGACTATGTTTGTTTATTTTGGAGCATTTCTGTTTTTTGGTTTTCGTCCAAAATCCGCCTGTAGGAGGACACGCCCGACCTAAGCCTACAGTCGAGGCTGATTCGCAGGTCGACCCTGCCGAATCAAGAGTGCCCTGGTGACCCGTGTTTCGAGACACATGCCTCCTACGTTCCTGTGGCAGTGTGGCCTTTGCAAGGGTCTTGTGTCCTCTAGCGTGTCCTCTCCGATCAGCCTCGAATGCACACGCCGGTCGTTGGAAGCAGGTGTTTCTGGGCCCCCAGATCCCAATCTACCCTGGTCGACCTCCTACTTCATGGGCCCAGTGGTCATCCCTCTCCCCTCCTCTTTCTAGGGGGCGGGCGGAAGCTCAATCTGCTTGATCTGCCTCGCTAATCCATGGTTCTGCTTACTTCTCCCTACCGACGGGTACCCCCTCGCCTGCCCCCCCTCCTCGCCAGCCAAATCAGGGGTACCCTTGTGACCTGTGTTTCGGACTGGTGCTTCTCATGGTGGAGCCCCCTTTTCTTCGGTGGGAGCGCTGGCCATTTCCATCCTCCGCGCATTGGTTGCATGGGCAACAGAAAATACCCTTGTGACCTGCGCTTCGCGAGACATGCCTCCCACATGCCCGTGGCAACGTGGCCCTCGGAGGGGTCGTGTGCTCCCCTCGCGGGTCTTCTCCCTGTCAGCCTCGACGGGCACCCCCTCGCCGGGCCTTCCCTCCCCTCGTCCTCTGCGCCGCGCCCCCCCCTATGCGCTCCGGGCCGTACCCCGTGCCGGCTGTCCCCTCCAGGGCCGGCTCCGCTCCTCTCCTGCGTCCTCTTGCGCCGCCGCCGCCGTCGCTCCGGCCTGGGCCCCATCGTCGTCTCGCCGCTGTCGTCCTCGTCCTCGTCCCCCTCCTCCTCGTCGTCTCGTCGTTGTCGTCGTCTCGTGGTTGTTGTCCTCGTCCTCGTCCTGGCCCTCGTCGTTTCGTCGTTGTCGTCCTCGTCGTCTCGTCGTTGTCGTCCTCATCATCGTCAAGACTCAGGACTGCGGGCATTTGATCCTTGTCAAGAGCTGCCCTCGACTCCCCCTCCTCCTCCCCCTCCTCCTCCTCTTTTTAACGTTGGACAAACGTTGGCTTGCTTGAGCCGTCGCGTCTGTTCTCCTCCTCTTCTTCATCCTCCTTCATTGTCCCCCCTTCTCCTCTGTTATCCCCTCGTCGTGGAAGGATCACGACCTAGGTTTTTGCCAGTTCTCGACTTCCAGGGGCCCTCAACGGGCCCCAGGAAGACACAGGGGTAACCTGGGATGGAACGCCGGGTCCAGAGCTCCGGGGAGCCACTTGATGAGAAATCACGACGTCGGATGTCTGGGTCCGCACTTCCCTCCTCCCTTCCTTCAGTACTTCTGGCCTCGTCCGAGTAGATGGGGTGGAAGCATCGCGCGTGCATCGGCGATGCGACTCGACTCGGAGACCGATTTTCTCGACGCCGACGGTGCCGATGTATCGCCGAAGTCGCCCCGATGCACCGGCGATGCACGGGCGATGCGGCGCGATTCCCCCATCCCATCTGCTCGCTTCCCATGTGGGAGTCCTCCAGAGGTACTCTTCAAACCGAGTGGTTTGGACACGTTCCCCGTCCGTGCCGGCTATGCAGCGTGCGCAGTCGGAGCTTGATGGCAGAGTCGCCAGGGCATGAACGGGAGCTCCCCCAATCCCACGGTGGGGCCTGCCGTCCATCGTGGTACGGGTGGGCAGGTGAATTTGTGATTCTACTGGAGGGTGCTGGCACCACGAGCCACCTGTCTTCGCACAAGCTCGCCCCCCCCCCCTCCTTCCCCCCCTCCCTCCTCCCTCCACGCCGATCTCTGGCGCCGCAGTCAGTATCCTGAGAGACCCTCCCTCCCTCCCTGCCTTCCTCCATTCTCTCTCCTCCCTCCCTCTCCCCCTCCCTTCCTCCCCCCCATCCCTCTCTCCCTTTCTCCTTTTCTCTCTTCTTCCATCCCGCCCTCCTCTCTTCGTCCTTCCTCTCTATCAAAGGCCATACCGATCCGCTGGAAAAAGAGGAGGAAGGATTGGGATTTGCGCTTTCTGGGGCCTGCCGTGTTTCCCGTGTCGCCACTTCTGGATACGCTTCGGAATTCTGGTCAGAGCGCGCTCCAGGACAGAGCCAGGGGCCGTTTTTTGAGGGTGGAAGAGGGCAAGGAGGACGAGGAGGGAGACGAGATGGAGAAGACGAATAATACGAATTCTATTAATCATATATGAATAATACGAATAGTACTACTAGAAAACACAATGATAATATTCATAATGCTTTTCGGAGTTTTGGATTTCTGTGAGGGATGAGGCATCTCATGATGAAATTGCTGCC